GACGGCGAGGAGAAGGAAAACAGGATCCTGAAAAGACTGCAAACGCAAGTACCAGGGGTGTGGGCGGAAACAAACCCACCTGGGTTGGCTGTCCACCAACCGCCAGTGCTGGTCCAGCTGGCCAGTACAGCCCAGCCGGTCCGGATCAGACAGTACCCTGTCCCAGCACGAGCCAGGCAGGGGATTGCGGGGCACCTGCAACGCCTGTTAGAGGCAGGCATTCTGAGAAAATGCCAGTCTGCATGGAACACCCCCCTTCTCCCTGTCCAAAAACCTGGGACCCAGGACTACCGACCGGTACAGGACCTGCGGGAAGTAAACGCTCGAGTCGAGACAATACACCCCACTGTGCCAAACCCGTATACCCTCTTGAGCTCGTTGCCCCCGACTCATACCTATTATTCTGTTCTAGATTTAAAGGACGCTTTCTTTTGTATACCTCTGGCCCCCCAGAGTCAGGAAATTTTTGCCTTCGAATGGAATGACCCTGATAATGGACTAACGGGGCAGTTCACACGGACCAGACTACCCCAAGGGTTCAAAAACTCACCAACCATTTTCAATGAGGCCCTGAGTAAAGACCTCCAGGAGTTCAGGAGAACTCATCCTTCAATAGCCCTCCTCCAGTATGTAGATGACATCTTGGTGGCAGCCCAGACACAGGAGGAATGCGAATCAGCTACACGAGACCTGCTCCGAGACCTCGAAAGAATGGGCTACCGAGTGTCAGCCAAGAAGGCTCAAATCGCGACTCAAACTGTGAGTTACCTGGGGTATGACCTGAAGGGAGGACTAAGGGCCTTGTCAAATCAACGAATCCAGACAGTCCTACAGATTCCCGAACCGACCACCAAGAGACAGGTACGGGAATTCCTGGGGGCTATAGGCTATTGTAGACTGTGGATATTAGGTTTTACGAACATAGCAAGACCCTTGTATGACCTAACCAGAGGCAAGGAGGACTCCTTCACGTGGACTGAAGAAGGGAGACAAGCATTCCTGGCCTTGAAGGAGGCCTTAGTCTCAGCCCCAGCCCTTGCTTTGCCCGATTTAACCAAGCCCTTCCAGCTATACGTCGCTGAGAAGGAGGGTACGGCCCTAGGCGTCTTGAGTCAGACTCTGGGCCCATGGAAGAGGCCTGTGGCCTACCTGTCAAAGAAGCTTGATCCTGTAGCGTCAGGATGGCCGGCCTGCCTGAGAGCTATTGCGGCCACGTCGCTGCTAGTTAAAGAAGCAGGCAAGTTGACCTTGGGGCAGGACATACAAGTTATAGGAGAACACTATATCGAGCAGGTCCTACGGGCCCCCCCTGACCGGTGGTTGTCTAATGCGCGGCTGACGCAGTATCAGGTACAGCTGCTAAACCCTCCAGCAGTGCAGTTCCTCAAGACTACTGCCCTGAACCCAGCTACCCTGTTGCCCGTACCAGATGCCAAGATCGTCCATAGCTGCACCCAAGTCTTAGACACGGTAACTGGCTCCCGCCCGGACTTAAGAGATCAGGCATACGAAAAGGCAGACCTGACTCTCTTTACTGATGGGAGCAGCTTTATCAAGAATGGACAGCGGTACGCAGGGACAGCAGTGACCACAGGAGATAAGGTCCTGTGGCGGAAAGCGTTGCCGGCAGGCACCTCTGCGCAAAGAGCGGAACTGATAGGGCTGACCAGGGCCCTAGAGATAGCGGAGGGGAAAGTAGCCAACATCTATACTGATAGCCGTTATGCCTTTGCAACCGCCCATATTCATGGGGCCATCTACAGAGAGAGAGGTCTCCTAACTGCAGGAGGAAAGGACATTAAAAACCGAGAAGAGATCCTCTCCCTCCTAGAGGCCATATGGTTGCCCAGGAAGGTCGCCATTATTCATTGTAAAGGCCACCAGAAGGGGGGATTCTCCGGTCATAAGAGGAAACAACCTGGCCGATGCTGCCGCCAGGGAAGCCGCCACGGACCAAGAAAGTAGTTTGCTTCCCCTGGTTCCTCAGCCGGACCTGCCCCCAAAGCCCGCGTACTCCCCAGAGGAAGAGCAAGAAGGGGCAAAACTAGGAGGGATAAGAAACGAAAATGGATGGATAATGCTCCCAAATACTAAGTTATATTTACCACAAGGGGTACTAACAAAAATTGTCCAGGACATTCATACTAGTACCCACTTAGGGCAGAACAAAATAGAACAGTTAATTAGGAAGCATTACCTGGGACCACACCTGAGGGAGGTAATACACTCCGTCACCTCTCGATGCAAGACTTGCGCAAAGGTGAACGCCCAGAATCAGAAGTTGCCCCGCTTCGTGAGGCACCGAGGGAGCACCCCAGGAGAACTATGGGAGATTGACTTCACCGAAATGCCTAAAGGAAAATCAGGATATAAGTATCTGCTAGTTCTAGTAGATACTTACTCTGGGTGGGTAGAGGCCTTCCCCACTAAGGGAGAGACTGCTTCCACGGTCTGCAAGATCTTAGTAAGAGAGATCATACCCAGGTATGGGATACCAATAGCTATAGGGTCTGATAATGGACCAGCATTTGTCTCCAAAATTTCACAAGAATTGGCTAGTAGATTAGGTATCGATTGGAAACTCCATTGTATCTATAGGCCACAGAGTTCAGGACAAGTAGAAAGGATGAATAGGACACTAAAAGAAACTTTAGTGAAAGTAAAAGAGGAGACCGGCGAAAATTGGGTAGAGCTGCTCCCTTTCGCCCTCTTTCGGGTAAGGTGCACCCCGTACATTAAAGGGTGGACGCCCTATGAAATATTGTATGGGCAGCCAGTACCCTTAATCCCTAAGTTGTCCACAGAAGAAATAGAAGTGTCTAACTATAATTTCCTCAAGTCCTTACAGGCGCTACAAGAGATCCGAGATGAGGTGCGCGCCTTCCAACAAGCTCATGGCTTTTATTAAAGATAGAATAGAAACAGTAAAACTTATGGTGTTGTCTCAGCCCTATACAATCCTCCCTCAAGAGGAGCATGAGTCAAGGGTTTGACTAATAAGAAAGAGAAGGAGGGAATGTAGAGGATGTAGAGGCCTGTCCAAATAAGGCTAGCATATAGAGGCCTGTCCAAATAAGGCCAGGAAATTTTTTAGGCGCCAACATCAGCTGCCCGCCAACAGCAGTCCAATCAGGAACTTTTGCCTTAGTTTGATTGAGCCAATAGCTAACCGCCATATCTGCTTCTGTATCCCTTGCTTGCTTGCTTGCCTGCTCCTATAAAAACCCAGTAGTTTGTAAGCCAGGCGCGACTTCCACTTTGGCGGTTCTGCGTAGCCGCGAGACTACGATCTCGTTCGGGAAGTTCGCCCCTGCGCAGGTAAAAACTTGGCCAATAAATTTACCATCAAACCGCTCTCAGTGTTCGGGGATTCCTTTCGCTCGCAACTTGAATACAACAGAGTTCAGGCCTGGCCCAGGCATGCAGACACGTGGTCCTGAAAGTCTGGGAGTGAGCCCGCCTCACCCCACGGGACCCGCCCCAGTCTCCTGCAGCCACCAGAGGTCAGAAGGGACCCGAGGGGCAGAGGATGTGTGGTGCTGTCTCCTCTGGGCAGATCTCTGAGCTGCCCCTCCCTAGCACCCAGTCCTGGAGCAGGGGCCGCCAGCAGCACCCCTGAGGAGCACGGGGCCGCCCCGCAGTCCTGCTGACAGTTCTGAGGCCTCTTCGTGGGCGCCCCCCACCGAGGACCACTGACCTCGGGGTGTGCCACCTGGCCCGCCTCTGGCCTGCACTCCCAGTGGCTCCAGGGCCCCCGTGGCCTCGGCAGCTCCCTGGTGGCCCCTGGCCACCCCCCATCCAGCCCCTGTCCAGACCTGCTTTTTCCTTCAGATGCCCACTCGTGACCTCCCAGAGCCTGGGCTCCACAGGACAAGGGCACAGCCTGCGGCTCCCTGACTGGCTCCACACCTGCGGGGACGGGGTGTGCATTTGAGGAGGTTTGCGGGAGGGCCGGCCTCAGACCCCGGCCCAGCCGAAGGCTCTGAGTTCCCATGAGCGCCCCGAGCTGATCCGTCCTTTCTGGCTGTCGGGCCTTGGAAATTCATTCCAGAAAGGCCTGGACACCCCAACATCTCACAGGGGTGCTGTGCTTCACACAGGTCCCTTTTCGGGGACCCAATGCTGTTCCCGCCACGTGGGGGGCAGGGGCAGAGCATCGTGTGTCCCTGCCACCTGCTGTGTGGGGACCCGGCGCTGGCGTCAGGCTGAGGGAGGGCCTGCACCACACAGCCCAGGGGCGCAGGCCGGCTGCTTGTCTGCAAGGTGACCCTCCTGGGTTGCCCTTGGGGGCCTGCCCGGGGTTTGTCACGTCGCCCCTGGAAGGGCAGGTCCCCTTCGCTGTCCTACCGATCACCTGGATGTGCGCGTAGCTGGATGTGCGCATAGCTGGGCGTGAGCAGCAAAGCCTGGTACGTAGTCCAGCCGCCACGCTCAACAAAAGCCAAAAGAACCAGTGGGGGGGTTCTTTTAATGGTCCACTTGATTGGAACCAACATATCCAAAATAATACTCCCACATATAAATTATGATACTATTGATGAAGTATTTGTTATCCTACTCAAAAAATCCTGTTTTTGTTACCAAGCCTTGCAAATCTGAGGACACTTCTCCCTTCGATTTAGCCCTTCCAGGGGCTTGAAGGCCACAGTGTGTCCATGTAGCCGTGGGAGCCTGGAGGCAGTAGGGAGGTGCCCCAGGAGGGCCCACCACGTGGGGCTCCAACACCACGGGGGAGGGCCGGGGGAGGGTCCTGGTGGGCTGCAGCCACGAGGCACCCAACCGCACCTGGAGGCTGGACCTCGGAGAGGAGTCCCCGGACAGCGGAGGAGGTTGGGCTGTAGGGGCGGGGCTCCCCCTGGGCTGGAGGGGGTCTGCGTGGGGACAGTGTGACCTGCACAGCCCTGGGCCTGTGGAGGGGGAAGGGAGGGGTGAGTCCAGGTTGGGAAAGACCCACACGGCCCACCACAGCTCCGTCCACAGAGAAACGTCCAAACTCGTAAGAATTTTTGTGAGTTTATGTGAGCTAAACAACCATGGCCTAGAAGCAAAATCTCCAATGATGGAGGAAACGTTCAGGGAGACAGCAGTGTGGCATCTTACTTCATACAGCACAATCCAAAGAGGAAGGCTAACGGGATTACTTGAAGTCCGTCGGTGATACATTAGGTGGAGAAGGCAAATTAGATGGGGAACCCGTGGGACTGGAGACGGTGCCACGATAGGTGTGTACGGCTTGTCCTGGAGCGGGTGCAGGAGAGTCCCAGTTAACAATCAACAGGATAACGGCAATGGCAGGCGTCGGTCCCTCTGCTTGGACGGGTCCGGAAACAGGAAGTCTGACCTTCCAGAGATGTGTTACCGCAGAAGCCAAAACAACAGCAGCCCCCCTGAGAAAAAGATCGACCTTGGTCGTGGAAAAACACCGGCCTGGGACCAGAGGACCCGGCTGGAACGGCTCCTGATTGCAAAGTTTCAATTTCAGACCCTTCTATGTGGTTCCTTTGTGTTGCTGAGTGAGTGAGGCCCCACACAGGCCACCCCGAGTTGCAGGCTTGACTGTGCGACCTGTCCCTCCAGAGCACCCAGGGAGGGAGCAAGTCCTGCCTCAGGCAAGGACAGGGAACTCACTCTGAGACCACGTGTTCTCCTCCCACCCCTCCGAGGGTGACGGCTCCTCTGCAGTGGGTCCCACCCTCCTGAGGCACAGCCAGATCGCCAGTCTGGAAAACTCCAGGGAACAAACACTTCTGGGAAGCCAGAACTACCCTGGAGAGGGAGCCCCCACCCCAGCGCTCACCCAGCACCTGAAAGCACCCTGCTCAGGGCTCTGCTTCAGGAAGCTGCCACCTTCTTCCCTTGAGACGACACCTGCTCTCCAAAGCCAGAGATGACCAAGGAGGAGCACGAGGTGGCCGTGCTGGGGGCTCCCCAGGTCTCAGCACCCGTGACAACCACCGTGGTCAACATCCAGCCCGAGACCGCCGTGCCCGACCACATCGTCTGGTCCCTGTTCAACACGCTCTTCTTCAACGTCTGCTGCCTGGGCTTCGTGGCGTTCGCCTACTCTGTGAAGGTGGGTGGGGCGTGTGGGCCCCCGGGGGTCCTCCTGCCCACAGGGCCCTGGGGACCGGGGAGCTGTTGTGAGTGTGTGCACACGTGTGTGTATGTGTGTGTGTGTACAGGTCACAACCAGTCTATACCAGACACATGGGGTAGAAGGGTCAGCCTTTCTCACGAAGTCTCTAAGCAGTTTCCTCCTGACCATCCAGACATTAGCTCTCCCAGAAAGAACAAAGGGACCCTCACACCCTGACCTCTGGTGGGGTGAGTGGAAGGGGAGGAGGAGCCCTGGGACCCCTGGAGAGACTGAGAGGTTTTGGGGGAGGGACCCCCTTGACCATGACCTGCCCAGGCTCCAGAGAACAGGCAGAGGAGGGTCCTGATCAGGGCTCTGGGCAGGGACCAGCAGGGGAGGACCTGAGTCACAGCAGCTGGCTCTGCTCAGGCCCCACTCCAGGCCCCCCTCACCTCACCATCTCTTCTCCCCCAGTCTAGGGACCGGAAGATGGTGGGTGACGTGACTGGGGCCCAGAGCTACGCGTCCACTGCCAAGTGCCTGAACATCATGACACTGGTCCTGGGCCTCCTTGGGACCGTAGGGTTCATTGTTTTTCTGGCCTTGGTGGTCTTCCCGACAGTCAGCTATGCAATAACACAGGCCATGCAGAACCACGGAGGCTACTAGGCGCTGCCCTCAGCAGGGGGACCCCGTCTCCCCACCCCCTCCCGGCTCTGCCGCACCCCCCCCAATCACACAGCACTGTGTTCGGAGGTGGCTGAACCCACTGAACCCAATAAAATGCACTTGGAAGTGACAATGTGGACGTCTCACTCATGCGTGGAATCGAAGGAACTGACCGGACTAACACCAGATAAGGACAGACTGATAGAGAGCAGGCTGCCAGCGCTGGGGGGTTGCTCGGGCCGGGGTGGGTAGAGGTGGAAGAGGGCAAAAGAGTGATAAATAGGAAGGGGAAAATACAATAAAATGAACTATGAAAATAGATTTCAGTAAAGTGCAAATGAAAGTAAAACTGAGGCCCGCGCTCCCTGTCCTCGCCCTGCACGGGCCTCCCCGAACTCTCGCCCCCAAACCCCGAGGTGTGGGAACACGGCCGACCTTTGCGGCGGCCGCACAGCCGCGGTGTGGGCTGCAGAGCAGCCGGTCTCTGGGGCTGCAGGTGAGTTCTGTGTGACAACCAGGAGGGCCCCTGCGTGGGGCCAGCGACACGCACAAAACCACGCCGTCCAGTATAACCAGACGCAGAGGAGATTTCAGAGGGAGCCGACCGAGAGACCTCAGCTCTGACCGGCAGCCGCACCCAGAACCAGAACCTGGGAGCCCGTGCACACAAGGCCCAGGACCCAGGGCCGGGCCAGACTCGGACCTGTGCCACCCTGAGAACCAGAGGGTCTGCGGTCCAGGCGAATGCCCGGACACGAAACGGCCACGCCGCTGAGCCCTCCAGCGATAACTCGCCAGCCTGCCTGCTCCCACCCCCTTAGCACCCTGAAGCTCATCCGGTGAGCGGGGCAGAGCTGGAAACTCTGGGTCTCCCCGCTTCCGGGCGCTGCCCTCTCAAGCCAGGAGACCTCTCCAGCTCCCAACTGCCCTTCTGAGATCTGGCCTTTCAGAGCCTCGGGCATGCACACAGGGACTCCTTACACCTGTAAGTTCTGGGCTGGGACAGGCCTGTGTTAAAAGCAGACTAACAGCAGGGGCCCCGAGTTTAACGACTTTGGCACACACCTGAGAGACCCAGAAAACTGGCAGTCTCAGGAAAGGTCCCAGCCACCACCTTGAACAGCATTGCCAGGGAATGCAGGGCATTGACTGGTGGGGGCGGGGGCAGGCCCTGGAGGCCAGTTATGGGGCGTGACCGGGAAAAGCCCAGGAAGTGGGGGTGTTAGCGACAGCGACTCTCCATCTTCGGCACTGACAACGGCCTCAGAGTGCAGGCCCCCTCACCTGGTACAGAGGAGACTCCCCGAAAGTGTCAAGACTTCTGTTTAGGGCATTTCCACTTTGTTTCAGAGCTCCAGGCTTTTTAACAACAATAAAGCCTAAAATAATCCTTATGTCAAAGAAGCATCCTTTCTAGTGAAACTGGTCCGCTTCAGGTGGGTGACCTTGACCCTGCAGAAACGTCCCCAAGGTCCATCCCACTCCAGATGTGGAACCAGTGTACCTGGGCCAAGGCCTGACCCCAGTGGTGGGGACAGGAAATCTCCGGGCCCCAGCGGTCCCCACCCCAGAGCCTGTGTAACCTGACACTCAACCAGGGCCGCCCTCCCGACGTGCAGCCAATCCTGGATTTCGCAAACTCCAGGAAAAGGAAACTTTGGGGAAACCGAAAGTAGCAAGGAGGGGAAGCACCCACTGAGCCCACGTCGTCCCTGGGTCCTGAGGAAGCCTCTCTGTTTAGGGACCATGAGCCGCAATTCCCAGCGCTTCTTCACCGGCCCCCAAACCGGAGTCCCCCCATCCTACGAGATGCTCAAGGAGGAGCACGAGGTGGCCGTGCTGGGGGCTCCCCAGGTCTCAGCACCCGTAACAACCACCGTGGTCAACATCCAGCCCGAGACCGCCGTGCCCGACCACATCGTCTGGTCCCTGTTCAACACGCTCTTCTTCAACGTCTGCTGCCTGGGCTTCGTGGCGTTCGCCTACTCTGTGAAGGTGGGTGGGGCGTGTGGGCCCCCGAGCGGGGGTCCTCGTGCCCACAGGGCCCTCAGGACCGGGAGTTATTGCATGTGGGTGTGCACATGTGCCTGTACAAGTCACAGTGAGTGTGTACCAGGGGCACGGGAGTGGCAGGGTCACCACTGGTCCCCAGGACTCTAAGCAATTACCTACTGCTCATCCCAGAAATTAGTTCTCTCAGAAAGAACAAAGGGACTCCCATACCCTGACTGCCTGTGGGGTGAGGACAGCAGAGGGGTCAGAGCAGGGGGAGGAGGGGCCTTTGGAACCCCTAGAGAGGCTGAGAGGCTCTGAGGGAGGGATATGATTGACCATGACCTACTCAGACTCCAGAGAACAGGCAGAGGAGGGTCCTGATCAGGGCTCTGGGCAGGGACCAGCAGGGGAGGACCTGAGTCACAGCAGCTGGCTCTGCCCAGGCCCCACTCCAGGCCCCCCTCACCTCACCATCTCTTCTTCTCCCCCAGTCTAGGGACCGGAAGATGGTGGGTGACGTGATTGGGGCCCAGAGCTACGCGTCCACCGCCAAGTGCCTGAACATCTCCGCCCTGCTCCTGGGCCTCCTTGGGACCATAGGGTCCATTGTTCTTCTGGTGCTGGTGGTGTTGCCGACAGTCAGCTATGCAATAACACAGGCCACGCAGAACCACGAAGGCTACTAGTGTCTGCCTGCCGCTGCTGAACCGCGTCCTCCCAGCCACTGGCCTTGGGCCTCCTTGTCATGTTTACTGGCATCATCTCTGCTGTCACCATGTCCATCGTTTTGGTAGGGGGCTTTAAGAATTGGGAAATTTTAGTTTAAGGTAAAAAGATAGGAGTCTAGTGAGTCATGCGCATGTTCAAGCTTTTGTTTCAGACCCTACAGATAGATAAGGCTCCAGGGAAAACAGCCGACCCCCGAGGGCCCTGCTAAAGACCACCGCCTGGGGAGAAGTGCAGGCATCCTGGCCTTTGTGTTCTGGGGCGAGACAGACCACCACCCGCCCCTGAGGACAGCGGACCTCCCTGGACTGAGCTCCTGGACTGAACGTTGCAGTTCCTTTTACCTAAGCCTTAAATTTTAAAACCCCTCACCACACCTTGTTTATTCCCTGCTGTAAAAACCTTGGCCTAGAAAGAAAAGACAAGATGATCTGTTAGGGTGTGAACATCTTCTCAGATTGCCGACCATCGGAATAAAGGGCCCATGAAGAGTCAATGCCTGTCTCTGCTCATTGGGTTTGGCAGTGACCCGCAGCCCGAACGCAGGTGTCTCTTCCGGTTTCAGTTTCACTGGCTCCTTGTTAATATGGAAGAAATTCTGACGCCGTGAAGAGTTAGGAGGCGTCTGGTGGCTGTCACCTCTTCGCAGCTGTTGCTAAGCACTGGTGTCCACCACTGAATGCAGTAAAGGACACGCACTTGACAAAGGTGTGCTTTCACCTGGGGAGGGGTCCAGTGACAGTCCCGGCCTGCATGTCAAGGCTGAGCCCACCCCACACCCCATCCCACCTGCTTGCTGCTTTACCGGCGGGGCAGACCTTGTCCTAAGGCCTTATCTGAACTTGGCTCCCAACTTAGGCCGCCAGTGGAGAAGTTTGGGATGGGGGTCCCTCCTCCCCAGGGGATTCAGCATTGACCAGAATGAGATCATGTGAGGCACAGAGTCCTTGTCCAGAGCACCCTTTGTCCTGAACACCCCCATCGGCTCCAAAAGGCTGCAGGGGACAGGACTCCGGGAGTCCACAGGCCACCTGGAGAGGCAGCCCTGGGTTTCCCTGCTCTTCAGGTGGAAGAGAAACCCGGCCCTGACCTGGAAGTAAGCTCCAACCTGGTTCTCTCGTGGCTTCCAGATGTCGGGTTTAAGGGGTGGCCCAGGGCAGACCCGGCCCACAACCAGTGGGTCGGGAGGGTTGGGAGCCCGCCCGGCCCAGCCTGCCCCTTCCTCCCTGTGCCCCAGACCCCAGCTGTGGACCCTCCACACCCACTGACACCCACCCCCCAAGGCCCAGGGCACACACTGGCAAGGCCAAGCCTGTAGGTTCCACACAAGGGGCCATCTCTGCCCACCCTGCCACCAGGAGGGTGGCCCAGGCGCCTGACACTTGGACATCAGTGTCTGGGTCATCTCTCTGCCTCCGTCCAGACTCTTCCTGCAGAGCGAACACTTGTGCTGTCTAAGCAAGGGCTGTGCCGAGGGTTTAGATAAAGGTGGGAGGGGCGGCTGAGCAGAGAGCTTCCCATGCAGGTGGCCCCTGCGGACCTGCCGCTGGCCTTCTTTCCCAGAGGCACAGGCAGGGGAGCAGAGGGGGCTGCCCAAGCCCGGCTGGGCCTGTGCCTCCCGGGTTCCCAGGGGGCAGGGCCTCTGCCCGACGGACGGCATCCAAGTTTGGGGGTGTCAGAGACAGGGCAAGCAGACGCGGAACAAAGTTTCCTGTGCTGAGACACGCATTTCCTTGTCTGTTTTGGTCTCTTTTCTGTAGGAAAGGTCCCTGGGAGGTCCCTTCCCATCCTTACTGTAGGGACTGGAGCATCTACAAATGCTTAGGGGGGTTCACAGGCCTCGGGACAGTTCCGAGGAAAAGGGCCCCTTCCACTGGGGGTCCTGGAGTGTCCTGGGCCCACTGAGGCTGACACTGGCCCTTCTTCCAGGCCCACAGGCTGGGGCAGGGTGGTGGGCGGGGCTCCAGAGGGACTTCCAGACAGGTGAGCACTGCAGCCCAGGTGTGTGGCTGTGAGCTGAAGCCTTTTGTGGGAGGGGCTTTGGGAATGTTCTGGCCAGGCCCCTCCCTGCTCCCTGTCCTGAAGACCCAGGGCAGTGGGCACTGGCAGCTCTGGGGCCCAGGGCTCCCTCCGGGTGACCGCATGTAAACCAGGGTAGCAACAAGCTCCCTGGTGGCCATGATGGGGGGAGGGGGCTGCCAGAGGTGGGTGGCCTTGGACACTTTGGTGATGGGGAGACCTGGTTCTTCTTACTGATGCACAGAAAGAATTGTGCAGATCAGCAAATCCACTGGTGTGCAAGCAGTTCATTAGTGGTTTGTGCATGGAGAGAACAGACCTCTCCAGCGTGAGAGGTGAGGCCTCGTTTCGGGGCAAAGCTGCCTGGTAGAATTAAGGGCGGCTGAAGGCCAGCATGGGAAACCCCTGGGTAGCCAGGGGCTCGGTGACCTGAGGCCTGTCGGCTTGAGAGGAAAGAGCCAAGAGGGCACATCCTTTGTTCTGAGGACTCATGCATTTGGACGGAGGCAGTAGCACAGTTACACACTGATTAATGGGTCAATACAGTGCTGGCTTGGGGGGGGGCAGGCGCAGCAAAGGGGACGTGAGTACCTAAACTCAGGTGTGCGTGTGTGGGTCTGTGAGCCCGGATCCTTCTCTTGCTCCAGACTCATTTGTTTGTCCTGTTGTCAGACAGATGCAGGACAGGAGGCAGTTCCTCCAAGTTGGGGCTGTGACCCAAGGTGATCTCTGGGCTGCTGCTTCGGGCACTGTGGCCCCTGTCCCCCACTCCCCAGTTTCAGGCCTTCTTCCCCAGACAGTGGAGACCATACACGGGACTCCAAGGGCTCCCCCCTCTAGCCCGCACTAGCACCGTGTTTCCTGTGATGCTGGACAGCTGGCGGTGTGACCCGGCCGGGCTCAGGGCTGCCGAGTCGTGGGGGAGACCCGTCTCCGTCCTCCTGCCTGCCTGGGTGTGCTCCTCGCCCCACCCGAGTGCCAGCAGGCGTGTCCTGGCAACCGGAAAGCTGAATGCAGGAGGGTCTGAGTTCTTTCTGTGTGTGCCCCACTTTCACTCAGGGTGCAGGGGGGTGGGGGCGCAGCTCCACCTCCCCTCCTGGGACACTGCCCTGAAGCAATCAGCTTGTTGTGGTCCACAGGCGGTAGTCTGCACCCCTGTGCACCGAGAGGGAAATATCAGGGCTGGGGACAGGGTCCTGTGGAGGGTTCGAGGGGATGGAAAGCCCAGCTTTGCCCAGGGAACACTGCCAGGCGCCCCTTGCCACCCCCCTGGGGCTGCACAGCAGGCGTGGCCCTTCCATGGGAGAGGCCACAGGTGCTGCTGGCGTCCCCACGATCCCAGGCATCCAGTAGTGGGAGCTCACAGCGGGTGGGGGTGTCATGCCGGGCTGTGTCTCCCAAACCCACAGCCAGGGAACCTGGCCGGCAGCCCAGGCATCTGCCCTGACCTGGAACTGGACCAGTGACCCTTTGGATATCAGGTTGGTGCTCAACCACTGAGCCATACCAGCCAGGGCTATAGCTGTTTTTAAAATGAGTTAACAAGTATTTTAAAATTAAAACAAGCAGCACACTTGCTAGTGAAAGCCCTGCTCCCCTTCAGGAGGGTGACTCCCACCCTGGAGCACCGTCCCCATCACACTCCAGAGGAGGAGCCAGTGCACCTGGGCAAGGCGAGACTCTAGGGGTGGAGACACAAAAGCCCCCCACCCCTCGGGCCCTCAGCCTTCTCCGTCCCCTGCCGCCGTGTAATCTGACACTCCCTTCCTTGTGCACAGCCAATCCCCAATTTCCAAGAAGTTACAAAAGGAAACTTGGGAGAAATTGAAACAAGCAAGGAGGGGACGCACGCACTGAGCCCACAGCACCCCTGGGTCCTGAGGACATTTGCTCTGTGTAGGGACCATGAACCACAATTCCCAGCACTTCATCAATGGCCTGCATGCCGAGGTCCCCCCATCCTATAGTGTGGTCAAGGAGGAACACGGGGTGGCTGTGCTGGGGGCTCCCCAGATCTCAGCGCCTGTGACAACCACCGTGGTCAACATCCAGCCCGAGACCATCGTGCCCGACCACATCGTCTGGTCCCTGTTCAACACGATCTTCCTCAACGTCTGCTGCCTGGGCTTCGTGGCATTCGCCTACTCTGTGAAGGTGGGTGGGTGCATGTGCGCCTGTCAGGAAAGTGGGAGTGAGCTCCGGGGTTTGCTGCCCGGATGGTCCATTATGGGGACACCCTTCTAATTGTGCATGTGGGTGTGCAGGTCGCCGGGAGGCTGCCAGTTAAGTCCCTACTGAATGGCCCAGTAACATATCCCTTAGACTCACACGTAATCCCAGGGCTCTGTCAAAAAGGGCAAAGGGACTCCCACACCCTGACCCCTGTGGGATGTGGCCAGCAGAGAGAGCAGGTCTGGGGGAGGAGGGGCCCTGGGACCCCTGGAGAGGCTGAGAGGTTCTGGGGGAGGGACCCCCTTGACCATGACCTGCCCAGGCTCCAGAGAACAGGCAGAGGAGGGTCCTGATCTGGCTGAAGGGCAGGGGGAGGGGCTCTGGGCAGGGACCAGCAGGGGAGGACCTGAGTCACAGCAGCTGGCTCTGCCCAGGCCCCACTCCAGGCCCCCCTCACCTCACCAGCTCTTCTCCCCCAGTCTAGGGACCGGAAGATGGTGGGTGACGTGATTGGGGCCCGGAGCTACGCGTCCACTGCCAAGTGCCTGAACATCTGGGCCCTGGTCCTGTGCCTCCTTGGGACCATAGGGTCCATTGTTCTTCTGGTGCTGGTGGTGTAGCCGAAAGGCCATCGTGCAACAGGGCAGGGCATGCAGGGTGGCACAGGCTCTTAGCTATCATCTCCATCACGGTAATTTTCATCATTTGACATGCTCGCTGATGACATGGAAGAAATTCTGACGTCACGAAGATTTAGGAGGCTTCTGGTGGCTGCGATAGCCTGAGGCTGTCACCCTTCCTACAGCTGTTTATATGCACCTGTGTCAACAACTGAATTCAATAAAGGACAGGCATGTACAATGTTGTGTTTTTACCTGGGGAGGGGACCTGTGGGAGTCCCGGCTTGCCCGTCCGACTGCGCACACACTCTAACCGGTCAGAAAGGGCTGCAGTCCACCGCACAAAGTGGTGGGGCCATCCTCTGCGCAGGAACATATTGTCCTGCTCTGCCCTGCTCGGCCTAAGGGCCGTACCCGGGCTGGGCAGAGTCCGCAGTACCCCGGCCTCCCCGTCTCCCTCCAGGTCTCCCTGCTGGTAGAAGGCGAAGAGAACACACTCTCCTAAGAACACCCAGGGGAATGCCAGCAACGCCTCCGCCTTTCGGCCCGCCTCCGCCGCTCCCCTTCCGCCCCACCCACTTGCACTGGTCCCCGCCCACACTCCCCTGTCCCAACGAGCTTCTCCCTTTTGGCCCTGCACCAAATTAGGTTCCGCTGACCCCACTCCAGTCACGCCCACCTGCGCCCACCGTTGCTCCTCTCCGGCCTACTCGGAGCCCGCCCATCCGAGCCGTTCGGGCCGGACCTGCCGGTGCTCCGCCGACACCTGGCCCCCGCCCGCCAAACGCTAGGTTCGCATTCGGACCACCCACGTCCAGCCTCGCCCTCCACTTCCAGTCACGCCCCCTTGCTCCAGCCCATAACTCCCCGCCCAGCCCCCGATGCTCCGCCCCTTTCCTGCCACACCTACCTACCAGGTCCTGTGCCACTGTCTGGTTCACAGAACTCTGTGAACCCAGGGCTGCCGTACACCCCACCCATCGTCCTGGCAACGCCCACCCTGCTGTAGGTGACGCCTCGTCCACCCACATTCCACCTGGAGCTATTGGGGCTGCTCCTAGGACTCCGGGAGCTCGGGGTTGAGTCCTCGGGAGCCCAGCGAACGGCAACCAGGACCTTTGGACGGGCCTGCACTGCGCCTGCGTGATGCCTCAGGCGCTCTTGTAATTTTCCTTTATCTCCAGAGCGCGGCTGGTCTGCTGGCTGCGCAAGACGGTCAGCCTTCCGCCCGGCGGCACCTTTGTCCCGAGTCTCAGCCGCCCAGAAGCTGGCCGCTGCAGTGCTGCGCGCAGGTCCTGACCGGTGCCCTGCAAAGAATGTACAACCACTCGCTCTGGGCTCCTGGACTGGGGTCGCGATCACGTGGCGGCGCCCCTTCCTTGTCCCGCCACGGGCAAATTCTTCTCTGACCTAGAGGGACAGGTCCGCCAGCGTCCCCTCCAGCAGGACCCCATTCCCTGAGTCTGACCCCCTCCTCCTCAGACCTGTTTCCCGCTCTCGCTCTAGGCATCGCCCAGGGCCATCAAAGCACCGTCTGCATTTGGCCTCGAAGTCAGGGTGCCACAGGGGCTGCCACGGGGAGGGATGGAGGAGTAAGGTACAGAGACCAAACAAGAACCCGGCAGGAAGACCTGCTCACTTCAGACCAGAGCCCCAAAGCTGGGGCCCAGGCACACACAGGTCCCCAAAGAGCAAGGCTCATGTGGAGATGGGTTCACCTGCCAGACACAAACAAGCCTGTGTCCCCCCCGCCCTCCATCCCCCCCCCCCGGACTTTCCCCAGTCTCTCCCTGGTGACTGTACAGGGCTTGGGGGGAGGGAACCAGTCAAGCTGAGGACAGCCCCAGGCCCCACGTGCATCAGCAGCGCTGGGAAAGGCTCCTACTCCAGAGTGACATCCTATGGCTTATCCAAGGAATCCCATACTCAGCTGACTCCTGAAGTTGGTGCGCTGCTGTTGGGGGCAGAAAGGAGGTGGGGGTGAGGGTGTGCAGGGTCCACAGCTGGGACTCGGCACAGGGAGGAAGGGGCAGTCTGGGCGGGCCCAGCTCCTAATACCCCTCTCCTGCTGGTATCCCCTGCATCTGCCCTGGGCCACCTCTTAGTGTACAATATCTGGAAGCCTTGAGAGAACCAGGTTTGGAGCTTACTTCCAGGTCAGGCCTGGGTTTCTCTTCCACCTGAAGAGCAGGGAAACCTGGGGCTGCCTCGCCAGGTGACCTGTGGACTCCCAGAGTCCTGTCCCCTGCAGCCTTCTGGATCTATGGAAATGTTCAAGACTGAGGGAGCTATGGACCAGGGCCTCCGTACCTCAAATGCTCCCATCCTGGGTCGGGGCTCAGACCTCTGGGAAGGAGAGACCCCCCACCCCTAACTGTTCCCTCTGTTGCCCCAGCTGGGGGCCAGGTGCAGGTAAGGCCCAAGGACAAGCTCCACCCCACCGCCAAGCCAGCAAGCAGGTGGGATGGGGTGTGGGGTGGGCTCAGCCCCAGGGGCAGATGGGGACTCTCACAGGACCCTCCCCAGGTGAAAGCACAACGTTGTCAGGTGCCACGTCCACTGCCACATCCACTGTTAGATCCCTCTCTCCGTGACAAGGTCTTGAGAGGGGGTGTAAAACTTCAAGGAAGCAGTTTCCAACTTGGTGGACGTGGCATGGAAGGCCCTGCAATACCTATTGTGATTGTGCTTGCTTTGGGGATCATGACCCTTTTTGCTTTAATCATTATGAATACCCTGGCAGTGATTCAGATAGTGTGCCTAGACCTTTCCCGGCTCAGTGAACAGAATAATAATATCATACTAGAAACGTCAGGGAATATAGGTACAAAGAAACAACCAGAACAATCTGAGAATTCAAGCTTAATCAATAACAGATCATTGGAAAAACATCCAAGATAAGATAGAATACTCTAGGAAATCAGGAGATGATCTCACTGCTTTCTTAGAGGGAATCAAAGTACAAAACATGTCTATAAAAGAACTCCTAGAGAAACTTAAAAGAAGTACCCTTGAAAGCCCCCTGCAACGTAGGAATAGCCCCTCCTTTACCTTGAATAAGAATATATATCAACTAGACAGGCAAAGAAATAACAAAAGCTAGTTAGTTATTACAAACTAAACAGTCACTAGGGAGTCAGAATTTATGGTACACAGAAAAACATTTTAAGCAAAAAAAGGGTAGATAGCTAAGTTAGACATCAAAGGGCCTTATAATAAATTTCCTATTTTCTCTACTCAATCTAGCGTATCCTTTTGCCCTATGCCAAATTCTGAGAAACTTTAATATACAATAAGATACTCCTAATTGTCTGATTAATGGTTCTCCTAGTTAAAATAATCTTTAACTAAATCTATGGGAACTTTCATACTTATACTGATTACCTTTGTATTGATTTTTTCTGCTTAAATGATCATGTTATATTGCAAATGTTAATCACTACCTAAAATGAAAATATAAAAACCTGCTTGTACTTGCAATAAACGGAACAGAGCTTCACTGTCCTTTGAGGCGTGTTGTCGTCTGTTACCCAGCGCCGACGCCTACCCCCACCAGTGGGACCCCTTGACCCGCTGCGGCCGGACCGCGGCAGTCAGGTACATGTCCTTTGTTGCCTTCAGTTGGGGACACACGTGGGTAGGAACAGCTGTGAAGAGGTGACAGCCTCAGGCTATGGGCAGCCTCCAGAAACCTAAGTCTTCATGATGTCAGAATTTCTTCCATATCATCAGCAAGCCAGTCAAATGACAGAAATTTTGACAGCAGAGATGATGCCAGTAAACGTGACAAGGAGGCCCAAGGCCAGTGGCTGGGAGGACGCGGTTCAGCAGCGGCAGGCAGACACTAGTAGCCTCCGTGGTTCTGCATGGCCTGTGTTATTGCATAGCTGACTGTCGGCAACACCACCAGCACCAGAAGAACAATGGACCCTATGGTCCCAAGGAGGCCCAGGAGCAGGGCGCAGATGTTCAGGCACTTGGCGGTGGACGCGTAGCTCTGGGCGCCAATCACGTCACCCACCATCTTCCGGTCCCTAGACTGGGGGAGAAGAGATGGTGAGGTGAGGGGGGCCTGGAGTGGGGCCTGGGCAGAGCCAGCTGCTGTGACTCAGGTCCTCCCCTGCTGGTCCCTGCCCAGAGCCCTGATCAGGACCCTCCTCTGCCTGTTCTCTGGAGTCTGAGTAGGTCATGGTCAATCATATCCCTCCCTCAGAGCCTCTCAGCCTCTCCAGGGGTCCCAGGGCCCCTCCTCCCCCTGCTCTGACCCCTCTGCTGTCCTCACCCCACAGGCAGTCAGGGTGGGGGAGTCCCTTTGTTCTTTCTGAGAGAACTAATTTCTGGATGGTCAGTAGAAAATTGCTCAGAGTCCTGACCCTGCCACCCCCATGCACCTGGTACATACAGTGACCTGTACACCCACATGTGCACAGACCCAATGACTCCACAGTCCCACAGCCATGTGGGCAGGAGGACCCCCGCCCGGGGGCCCACACGCCCCACCCACCTTCACAGAGTAGGCGAACGCCACGAAGCCCAGGCAGCAGAAGTTGAAGAAGAGCGTGTTGAACAGGGACCAGACGATGTGGTCGGGCACGGCGGTCTCAGGCTGGATGTTGACCACGGTGGACACCACGGGTCCTGGGCCCTGGGGTGCCCCCATGATGGCCACCTCGTGTTCCTCCTTGATCATCTCTGGCTTTGGGGAGCTGGTGTGGTCTCAAGGCAGGATGGTGGAAGCTTCCTGAAGCAGAGCCCTGAGCAGGGTGCTTTTATGCGCTGGACAGTGCTGGGGGCCCCTCCCTGTTCAGGGTAGTTCTGCCTTTTAGGAAGTGTTGATTTACTGCGGTTTTCAAACCTGGTGATTTCACGGGTACAAGAAGGTGGAAAAACCCACGAGTGTCAGGTGACAGGAGAAGACAGTGCAGGGCAGCCTGCAGTGTAACGGCCGCTTCCTGACCCTGTCACTCGGGACCATTCTTTTTTTTTTTTTTTTTTTTAATAAATTTATTTTTTTTGAATTGTTTATGCTGTTACAGTTGTTCTATTCCCCCCTTCATTCCCCTCCACCCTGCCCCCCCCACCCCACCATTACCCCCCCTTTAGCTTATGTCCATGTGTCTCAAGTCCTTTAGGTTCTATATTTCCCATACTATTCTTGCCCCCCCCCATCTATTTTCTATCTACTGTCTATGCTACTTATTTTCTGTACCTTCTCTCCCCGTCTCCTCCTCACACTCCCCTGTTGCTAACCCTCTTTGAGATCTTCATTTCTATGTTTCCACTCCTGATCTGGCTGTCCTTTTAGTTTGCTTTCGTTTTAGGTGTGGTTGTTAATAACAGTGAGCTTGTTGTCCTTTCACTGTTCATGTTTCTTTAACTTCTTTTTCTTAGATAAGTCCCTTTAACATTTCATATAATAAGGGCTTGGTGATGATGAACTCCTTGAATTTGGTCTTATCTGAGAAGCACCTTATCTGTCCTTCCGTTCTAAACGAAAGTTTTGCTGGGTAGAGCAATCTTGGTTGTAGGTCTTTAGATTTCATGACTTGGAATATTTCTTTCCAGCCCCTTCTTGCCTGTAAGGTCTCTTTTGAGAAATCTGCTGACCATTCTTGTGGCTCATTCAGGGCTGGGGCGGGTCCTGGGGCTTTCTCCTGCCCAGAGGCCCCCCTCCCTTCCCCCTCCCCAGCCCTTGTGCAGGTCTCACTGTGCCCACACAGGGCCCCTGCAAGCGGTCACACAGACACCCCTCCAGCCCAGGGGGAGCCCGCCCCCACAGCCCACACCTCCTCTGTTGTCCCAGGCCCCCTCTCTGGTGTCCAGGCTCCAGGTGGGGTTGGGTGCCTGGTGGATGCAGCCCAGGAACCAGTCCCTTTTGCCTGTCCCCTGGGACTAGCAGGGTTTCCATGATCGAGGACACCTGGGGACCCGAGGAGGCAGCTGTGGTGGGACAGGGCATTTGGTGACGGCCTGGAAGCGCAGGACAGCAGGCTGTGCAAGCCCCTGTGTGCTCCTCCCTCCTGCCCCTCAGTGGAGCAGAGGTGCTGTGGGGTGGTCACAGGACAAGCTGGAGGAGCCAGGACGAGCCCCGACTCTGGCCTGGACCCCCTTGTGAGGGAGAGGAGGGTGGCAAGGGGGAGCCAGGACGCTGCTCTGTGGGGACAGAAAGACGGGGTCGTGTTGGTCGCCTCCGCAGGTCTCAGCAGCACGGACGAGGGTGGGGGTGGTGGTGGCCCAGGCCTGGACTGTCCCTGAGGACCACGGCCCTCGCCCTGCAGCCCGGCTGGGACAAGGCTGCAGACCTGCATCCCGGGGTGCCAGTGGTTCCCTTGTGGCCCAGAGGTGGCAGTCTCCAGGCTGGGCGGTCCTGCAGCTTCTGTGTTCTGGTCCCTTGAGCATCTGCCCCGTGTCCCCTCACAGGGCAGCAGCCGCTGCCCGCAGGCATCACCGGCCGCCCATCCCCACGGGATGCCGTCTCGTTGAAGGAGCCGGTGTGGCTCTGAGCTCCTCTGGACGATGCACTGGCTGCCCCAACACTGCGCAGTCCTGGGAGTGAAGGGTGAGCCCCACCCAAGTCTGGGGAGACTCTGGGGGGTTGGGACAGAGCTGCCAGTGTCCTGATGGGCTGGCTGCACAGGCCTGTGCCCGGGGCAACCCTCCCACCGGGGTCCGAGGGCTCCCAGCAACCGCAGGCCAGGAGCGTCCCGGCTGCAGCTCGGCCCGGTGCTGCTTTTCACCGGGTGGCTGCTGAAGGGACAGGAGTAGCTGTGGATCAGAGAGCACAGGGATGTGCGGTGGCGGAGTGGCCTGTCTGAAGAGGCTTTACTTCTGTGAGTGTGATTTACATAACTTACAGATTACGATTTAGTGTTTTTCACGAACACTAGTATTATTGAGGGCCAACCAACCCCAGGAAACAGGACACAGGGGATGAGGCTTGAACAACCCTGAGGTTGGGGTGGAGTCCGGCCTTTCCCAGCCAGACCTGTCTGTGACCAGTCCCCGGTCAGCCCCTTGGCCCTGGAGGAGTGTCTGGGGAACCGCGAGGGTGACCAAGGGGACGTGTGTGCATCCGGGCCCACAGGCCTGGGTGCAGCCAAGCTCGTGAGGGCGCCCAGCCTGTGTGGGGGCCTCTGTGTGTGTGGGTGCCCGGGCTTCTGCTGGGTCTGTGTCCGGGGACGGGAGTCGGTGCCGGCCCGCACACGGCCGCTCAGTTCCCCGCCCGGCGAGGACTTAGCCGACGTGTGCGTGCGCTTCTCTCAGGTGGGCAAGAGAAAGGCGAGCCGTCTGGTCTCTGGGGCCTGTGGGAGGCACGGGCTTGAGAGGTGTCCCTGTCCCGACACTGCCTTTGCCCTGTGCGGTGCACACGCGGGGCACTCCTGGCCCCGTGTGGCAGCCTCCGCTTCGAGGTGAGGTGGGAGCTGTGCATCACGCTGAGCAGCCTCACCTGTGACGGCAAGGACATTGAGGGACACCTGCTGGGGAGGACCTGCGGGGGCTGGGGCCTGGGCCCACCGCACACCTTCTGACCCTGTTGTCACTGCAGCGTGTGGGCCGCCTTGACCCTGTGACCCGGAGCCCTCTGACCCAGGAACAGCTCACCCGAAACCTGGCCATGAAAGAGGTCGCTGGTGGGTCCACCTGTTAGACTGGCTGGGTGCAGGCCCTGGGGACAGGACGAGGGGAGGCCCACCTGTCCCACACTGCCCGGACCAGCAGGCCTTTGGGGCAGCAGTGTCCAGTCCCTGTACATAGTTCGTGTCCCTGGACCCTGACTCTGGTGTCCGCCTGCCATCTGCCGTCGGTGAGGGGATGTGAGCCCCCTCACTCCCTGCCCCAGGCCCCTTCTGGCGCGGACACAGCAGGCCACACGAGACTGGGGCCCGCAGAGGAAGGGAGAGATGGAAACCCTGGCGTCGAGGCGGAACGTGGCATGCCGCCGTCGGTCACCAGCCAGGTGGGGCCTCCCAAGGCCCGTGCAGATGGGGTCAGGGCTGGGCAGTGTCCTGGAGCCAGGCCGGAGCCGTCTCGTTGGGGCGAGACGCACCTGTCTCCTCGGGGCTGGGGAACCAGCGCTCGAGTCTGCAGGTGCCTCTGAGGCCCGGGCCCAGGCCCGTGGAAGGCGCCCCAGGGGTGGTTCCTGCGAGGCCAAGTGCGTGGGTGTGGGGTGTGGTGCCCAAAAGGGCGGTGCCCGTTCAGTGAAGTTGTCCCCAAAGAAGCGGAGGGTGTCATTGCCCGGGGAGGTGAGGTCTCGGGGGTGCAGCTGCTGCTCCGCCTCCCCCTGGAAGAGCAGGTGCACTCGCTGCTGGGAGTCAGCAGGTTTCAGGCATCCAGGGACCTTTTGGGGGAGCACAGAGGCCAGCACCCCGCTCTGCGGTGTCCCCTCCCCCACAGCCTCCAGCCCCAGGCCGGAGCCAGTGCCTCTGCAGCTGCCTGTGGGCCCAGCCGGTCAACCGCAACCGTCAACACCCCGGCTGCCTTGTCTCTGGTCCCCTGGCACCACTCACTGCCGCCCATCACCCTCTGTTCTGGGGTCGGCGGGGCAGGAGCCGGGGCCTCCAGAGAACAGCGGCAAGAAAGGACGCACCCTCGGTGCCATGAGCCAGCCGCCCAATTTAATTATTTTTAAAGATTTAATTAATTTATCTTTTGAGAGAGGGAAAGGGAAGGAGGAGAGGGAGAGAAACATTGATTAGTTACCCCCCTGAGCCCCCCCCCCCCCCCCGCCAGGGACTGAACCTGCAACACAGCCGTGTGCCCCAACCGGGAATTGAACCGGAAACCTTTTGCTTTGCAGGACGATGCCCAGCCCAGTGAGCCACACAGTCAGGGCACGCACGACTTAGTTTTTCAGTCCGTGAAAACCGCACCACATCAACGCTGCCAGGGCGCAGCCAAGTGGCTGTCGGTGCACCTCGGTGTGTCTGCTCGGGGGCTCGGCCCCAGGCTGGGCCCTCCACCCCCAGTCCGCTTCCTGTTGCACGAACTTTCCCGCTGGGGGCATTTTGTACAAGTGGATCACACAATTAGTGGCCTTGTGTTGTTACTCTCGTGTGTCACCGAAGGTCACGTCTTCAAAGTGCATCCATGGGCCCCGTGTGAGGCCTGCGTCCTTTCACTGCCGGCCGCCCCGTGTCACAAGGACACGCCCACTGAGCCTTCCGTGCGTCTGTGCACACTGGGGCTTCTGCCCCGTTTCGGCGAACAGGCGGCTACAAGCATATTCCAGGGAAGCTTTTGTGGGGACCTGTGTTTTCCTTCTGCGCCCTGCACTCCTAGCAGCGGCATGAACGGGCCTCACGCTGCGGCTGTGTTTGGGTCGTTGAGGAACTGCCGGCGGCTGCCCACAGCAGCTGCGCCAGTTACATTCCCACCAGCAGCTATGGGGGTTTCGGTTCCTCCTCATCCTCACCAACATCCGCGGCTGCCCGTCATTGTCCGGGTATCCGGTGCCTTTGCTTGGTGACCGGCTCCTTCTAGGGTGCCGCTGCGCATCTGGGGACCGCCGGCTTGGGCCCTCAGTCCGTTCCCTCCTAGGTGGTCATGGGTCGAGAGACGCGGTTGTTGAGCTGCAGCGCTCGGCTCCTGGCCTGAGCCCCGTGAACGGCAAAACGGCCCTCTCATCCTTTGCACGCGCTGGAGTGTGCTGTCAGGCTCACCCACTTCCAATTCGCCCAAGTGCAAGTCCCCTCTTGTTTCGTCTGCCATAAAGAAGAAGCTGTTGCCTCATCCACGGTCACACTGGGTCACACCCACATTCCTTTCTGTCAGTCTTAGTTCTTCTGTTAGGTCTGTGATCCACTCCGAGTTAGCTTTTTGCATGATTCGTAAGGGAACGGCCCAACGTGCGTCCTCTCCGTGCGGATACTCAGCTGCCTCCGCGTCGGTGCTGACCTTCCTGGCCCCTTGTGGAAAACGAGTTGAGCCTAGAAGAATGGACTCATCCCTGGGCCCTAAATCGGTCCTCCAGGTCACGGCAGCTGTGAAGCCAGGGAGGGGGGCCCGGCAACGCCCAGCCACAGCCAGTTTGGGCCTGACACTCTGTGTGCATTGTGGGGTCAGCTTTTCCGCCTCTTCCTCTCTTTTAAAGACTTTGACTTGTTTATTTTTAGAGAGAGGGAGGAAGAAAGAGACGGGGAAATACATCGAGATGTGAGAAAAACGTCATGGGGTGCCTCTCCCAGGTGTCCCGACCAGGGACCTGCCCCACAGCCCGGACGCGTGGCCCTGACACAGAATCGAACCAGTGAGATTTCACCATGCGGGCGGCACCCGGCCCACAGAGCCACACCGGCTATTCCGTTTCTCGAAGCGGGCGTGGCGGGAAGTTTGACAGTGGCCGTGCCTCTGGTCGGCCGTGAGCACCAACTGAGACACCGGTCTGCTCCCTTCACTGTGCAGGTCTCAGCACTTATGTGGTTGCATTTTTTACCAGCCTTATTTTTTGATACCATTATGGATGACATTTCTTCCTTCAGGATATCACTGGGTTACTCATTGCTAGTGATTTGCATATGCGATTTTGTCACCTGTGACATACGTTGGTTCCAAACAAGTGGACCATTAAAATAACTCCCCCACTGGTTCTTTTGGCTTTTAAGAACCACTGGTTCTTTTCAGTGTGGCAGCTGGACTAGGTACCAGGCTTTGCTGCTCACGCCCAGCTACGCTCACACCCAGGTGATCGGTGGGACAGCGAAGGGGACCTGCCCTTCCAGGGGCAACATGACAAACCCGGGGCAGGCCCCCAAGGGTGACCCAGGAGGGTCACCTTGCAGACAAGCAGCCGGCCCACCGCCTTGGGCTACGTGGGGCAGGCCCTCCCTCAGCCTGACTCCAGCCCCGGGTTCCCACACAGCAGGTAGCAGGGACACACGATGCCCTGCCCCTGCCCCCCACGTGGCGGGAACAGCATCGGGTCCCCTGGAAGGGGACCTGTGTGAAGCACAGCACCCCTGTTGTTGGGGGAAAGTGATAGCTCTGTGCGTAGGGCGTGACTTGCTGCTTTAGAAATACAGCACAGCAATTAGGAGGTTGTTTTTATATCCCAGGTGTTTAACAGCCCAGTGATTTGCCTTCTTTCTTCTAGCTTATCGACTACATACCAGAGATAATGAAACGCTCTGCTTTCTGCTTCTATAAATTGTCTCCTGCTTTGGTCTGAAGGACAGGCCTCTGCCCCCTGCTCTATCCCACCGCTGCTCTAAAAAATAACTGCTTTCCCTTTGTTTAAGGCCCAGAATTTGGAAATGGACTCCTCTGGGCCAGCGCATAAAATAAACTTCCACTCCGTACACCCGAAAGTGGCTGAGTTGTTTTCTGTAACACTGTGACATGTCAGAGGGTCCAGGCCTTTCTGGAATGAATTTCCAAGGACCGACAGCCAGAAAGGACGGATCAGCTCGGGGCGCTCACGGGAACTCAGAGCCTTCGGCTGGGCCGGGGTCTGAGGCCGGGGTCTGAGGCTGGCCCTCCCGCGAACATCCTCAGATGCACACCCCGTCCCCGCAGGTGTGGAGCCAGTCAAGGAGCCACAGGCTGTGCCCTCGTCCTGTGGAGCCCAGGCTCTGGGAGGTCACGAGTGGGCATCTGAAGGAAAAAGCAGGTCTGGACAGGGGCTGGATGGGGGGTGGCCAGGGGCCACCAGGGAGCTGCCGAGGCCACGGGGGCCCTGGAGCCACTGGGAGTGGAGGCCAGAGGCGGGCCACGTGGCACACTCCGAGGTCAGTGGTCCTCGGTGGGGAGCGCCCACGAAGGGACCTCAGAACTGTCAGCAGGACTGCGGGGCGGCCCCGTGCTCCTCAGGGGTGCTGCTGGCGGCCCCTGCTCCAGGACTGGGTGCTAGGGAGGGGCAGCTCAGAGATCTGCCCAGAGGAGACAGCACCACACATCCTCTGCCCCTCGGGTCCCTTCTGACCTCTGGTGGCTGCAGGAGACTGGGACGGGTCCCGTGGGGTGAGGCGGGCTCACTCCCAGACTTTCAGGACCACGTGTCTGCATGCCTGGGCCAGGCCTGAACTCCCCGCCTGTCCCTGCTCTCCCGAGCAGGGGGCCTGGGCGGACTCTCCCCTGCTGCCAGGACCCTGCCTGACTGAGGGGAGCAGAGCCCCCTGGTGACCTTCCTGGAATTGGTGTCCGGGTTGTGCTGGCGGCCTGACCCCCCCTGCCCTGAAAGCCACGCCCTCCCTGGGCGTCCTCAGGCCACAGCCTCCAGCCCAGCTCCCTCCTTCTTGCAATCTTTTCCTGGCAGGACCAGGGCGATTTCGGAAACAGTGTCTGATGAGTCAGGTTCCCAGCATTTCCGCTGCCTGGAGCCTGGGGCTGCAGACTCTGTGTTGGGCACTTGGAGCCTGTGCTCACTGGGAACCGGGGCACACTGACAGTGAAGTGCACAGGCCATAAAAGTAGTGCCTCCCCAGGGCTGACCTGCCACCGCCCACCAGAGGAGCTCCCGGGTCCCGGGGGAGGGGGTGCCCGAGTCCCGGGGCAGCCTCCACGCTCTGGGCGCGACTGTCCTGCCCTCAGGTGTCGGCCCTGTCCTGACTTCCTGTGAGCACTGGAGCTGAGTGGCCGGGCCGGGCAGCACCGCCGGGCCCACCGGGCTCCGCTGTGAGCCCCCCTCTGCGCACACGCTGTGCCCCCTGCACGGCTGCTGGGGGAGAGCAGCTTGGAGCCAGGCTGTGCTGGGAGCCTCCGTGCGTCTGGCTCTCCTGCAGGGACTTGCGTTTCCGTGGGACCCACCTGGTCGGGACGGGGGCTCTCCTCCGAGAACCGGGCCCACTTCCAGGCCTTGTGTGGGGACAGGGACTTGGGGTCCTTCTCCACTCAGCCCCTGAGGAAGGGCCCCTTTCTTACCTCCGACGGCCACTTGCTGGCTCCAGGAACAACCCTGTTTGGACTTGAACTTTGCCCCCGGCGACCTCCCCCCGCCCTCTGACCTATTCTAGCAACATCCGCGCTCTGTCTCTGTGCCTCCATCGCGTCCGAACGTGCGGCTCTTCCACGCTCTGTCTGCCTCCACAGGGGCCCCCTCTGCAGCCGTGACACACCCTGGGGTCTGTGCTCATCCCGACCACTGGGCACTGGTCCTGCCTGACAGTGACCGGAACCTCGGGGTCCTGGGTCTCCCGACTCACCCTGGTGGCAGAGCCTGTGGGCGTTTGTTGTCTCACACGGCAGCCGCCATTGTCACAGCTGGTGCCACTGACCGTTGTGTCACTGGGCTCTTGCACCGGGCTCCTGGCTTCACAGGGCGTCCCCACAGAGCCCCTCAGGGTCAGGGGTCCCCTCAGGGCTTTGCTGTTTCCCTGAGAACGTCCTCCTTTCTGTTCTGCTCCGGGACACCTGTCCCCGGGGAGCGGGGCGATGGGTCCTCCGAGTCCACAGCTGCTGTGACGCCAGCTGCCAGCTGAGTGTCACCCCTGTCAGGAAGCCTGTGCCCTTACCGCGCTCTTTGTCATTTTGGTCTTGTGCTTGGTTTTCTAGGTTTTGCTGGGTGTGCTGAGCGTGGGCTCGTGCTCCTTTAATCTGGGGGAGAATAAGACTCCCCGGGTCTCTCAGGACTGTGCGTGCTCGTCTCCCAGCGGTTTTGGAAACTTCTCATCCAGGGCGTTTTTACAGATGGAGTCTCCATCGCCCCCGAGCCTGCCCTTGCGGACCCCAGGGCCCGGGAGTGGAGCCCGCAGTCTTCTCGCCCCCTGGCACTCGCCTGCCTGGGTCTGTGCTCCTGGCACAGAGGTTGCTTGTCCTCCGCCTTCTCAGAGTGGGGCTCTGGGGCAGCCGCACAGTGACCAGGCCCCGGGTGTCAGCGGGACCCCGAGTCTGCCCTGCCCATGAGTGCGTGGCCTTGCTCAGGGCACAGGCACTTGCGGGACGGCCGGCGGGTTCCTGGGCAGATGCGCAATGGCACTTGTCACGATGTCCCCTTCTGTACTGAGATGTGGACATTCACTGTTGACCTTCAGGAGGTCAGCGCTCAGCCCGAGCTTTACCCAATATGCTGTGTCCAGCGCATCTGCTGCCCGAGTTTCTGCAGCCCCTCAGCCATGTCTGCGCCTGCGTCCCGGGTGCCGGGGCCACAACCCCGAGAGGCTCCTCCGGGTCTGGAGGTCGCTGGACTCACCCACGTCCGATCCAAGGCCGAGACTGCCCCGTGTTTCCGGATGTTTTCTTACGCTGAATCTCCTGCTGAACCTCCTCCTGTAAATTCATGTTCATTCTACGAATTTGTTTATTCGCACTTCATTCCTTCACGCTTCTCATATTTCATATTTGCACGAGTTTTTGTTTCCGTTTTTCGTATTCGTTGATGTTCACAGATAGATCTTATTCATTTTATAACTTTTAGGAGAAGTTCTATTCACTCATTTATCCGGCAGGGACTCGCTGCGAGAGCCCCGACTCTGGCAGGTGGGGCTGCAGGGGGGACACTGTGTGTTGTGTGGTGGCCATTGGCTCAGCTGTTGGTCCCGCTGTCCCTGTCCACCCCCCATCTGAGGGCTGGGGCCTGGCCCCACCGCTCTGTGGTCCCCTCTGGGTCCTCTTGTCCCCCCGCCGGACCAGCCACCCCAGGCGCTGCTGGGTGGTGGCGGCCGCCCTGCCTCCAGGTGGAGCCCCGTCCTCCCTGCGCGTGGGCGGTGGCTTGTTCTTAGGAGCCAGGCCTGGGACCCTGACCCCGCCGTGGCTCCCACGGGGCTGCTTTGCTCCTGTTTCAGTTCCTCCTCCAGTGCGGATGTCCGGGCGGGACGCACCCGGAGCCTTCCTGGGGACAAAAGCAGGCTCTTCCAGGCCACTCGGCGTGTCCCGAGCGCCATGGGCTTTGCATGTGTTAACAGATTTAATGCTCACGGGATGGGTAAGTGCTGTTATTGTCCACGCCATCTGACAGGAAACCTAGACACAAAGACGTTGCCACAGGCCCCTGGTCACGCAGCCTCAGTGACAGCGGGGCCTGGCCCCCCGCCGCTCTGCCACCTTTCCTGTACTTCTCTCCACACGTGGCGCCCCTAGCTTTGTACTGGGGGCAAATCGAGACTCAGGAAGGTTGGGGGAGACGGTTCAGGGAACTCCGGGCCCCCACCCCTGCCCAGCACTTCCTGTTGACGCCTTTCTCAGCACCCAAGACCCAGAGCAGCACTTGCCCTGAAGTGAAACCGTCAGGAAGAGAAGGCCTCGCTGGGTGGTCTGCGGCGGGACACCCAGGTCTTTCCCAGGCCCTGGCCCTGGTCCTGCTGGGGACCGCCCTTCCGTGGGTCCTGGCTCCTCGCGTTGATGGCCCCAACAAGACCAGCCTGTAACTTTGTGATGGCACAGAGCCGTCCTCTCTGTACAACAGTGTTGCAGAAATGGAGTTGGGACCCGGGCAGCGCCCCTCCTGGGGAGCGGCCCACACTGTCTCTCTCCACGGTGACCTGACCCTGAGCACTGGGCAGGGGGTGGGTCTGTGGGGCCGCTCCCTGTGGACCCGCAGTCTTCGTGGCCCACAACCTACCTAGGAGCCCTGACCGGGAATTCCAACCCACTGAGTCAATGGGCCAGGACCACTCTGGGTGCTTTTCAAGGAGAGGCTCTGGGCCCAGCTGACTTAAGTCTGGGGCCTCGCCACCCCCAGGCCACCAGGGGAAGGCCTGGCAGAGACGGATCAGGGAACGAGGGCCTCTCCCAGGGCCCTCCAGGAGCAGCCCCTGAAGGCCTGGACAAAGATTTGGAAGCAAACGACCTGTTCTGATGGTCAAAGCAAAGCTCAGCTGCCAGGGACCAGCAGATGTCCAAGGTCCGGCCTTGTCTGCGCAGGTCCCCAGGGCAGGCACCCATTCCAGGTCCCGAGCCACCCTCGGCCTGCCGGCCTGCCCAGCCCCCAGCCGAGAGTCACGTGGGCCTTTAATCAGAAGCAGCACCAGACCTCTGATTTCCCGGACAAAGTTCTGTTTTCCCCGGTTTGGGATTGTTTTCCTTCCCACTACTGCAACTTTTTGGACGTGAACTGAAGAATTTGAGCCCAAGTTCTATGACGCTCAGTTCATTGCGGGAAAAGAGTCTTCATTCTCTCCACTAGAGCTGACAGACAACATTCTATCCCTGTCAGGCGTGCACCCCAGTCACAGGCAGAGCTGAGCGATCACCCCCACAAACCTGGTGCCCACGTGTCACCATCCATGGTGCCCACAGGACTGACCGTTCCCGGGGCTGCGCCTGACACCCCGCCACTGGTTTGTCATCCCCAAGGAGTGCTTCTCACCCCTTCGCCTTTCTCAGCTGCCCCACCCCTGCCCTCTTTCCGAATCTCCGAGTCCTCTTCTTCTTTCTCTGTCAGATTCCCCAGCAAGTGGGCTGGCACGACTGCAGTCTCCTCTGGCTCACGTCACACAGTGCGATGGCCTCTCGGGCCCCCTGCGCTCTTGCAAATGGGTCCCCTTCTGCAGGGCCAAGCCGCATCCGTGGTCTGTCTGCGCCTCTTCACAGGCACATCCACCCCGGGCAGTGAGCTCGCTCCCTTCTCTGGACGGTTGTAAGTGCTGCACTGGGCGTGAGGGGCACGGGTGTCTCGAATGGGTTTCTTCAGATGGGTCGTCAGCAGTGGAACTGTCACAGAGTAGACCCGTGCGTTGGGGGGTGAACGATGTACTATTACTGGATGGACCGTCCCTGGTGCTCCAGGCACCCCCCCCCCCACTAGGGACTAGCTTCGCCTTGTCTGCAACTTGGGAATTGTAGTTCTCAAAGTCAGTGATTGGTGAAAAGGAAAGGAATTACCTATTCAAAAGTTATGCAAACTTAAGAGTAATGACTTCACGTTGCCATTAAAATACTCAAGTTCTTTGGAACACCACGAACACACACAGTCCTGCCTTCTCCCCCTGCCCCGTTCAGGGCACTGCATCTGAGGAAAAGAAGTAAAAGTCCGTCATTCGGGCTCCGGGCACCATCAGCTGTGTCGCCGCCACGATCTCCGGTCAATCCAACACCATGTGGCCCCTGCTCAGGGCCCAGCAGCAAGAGTCCTTTCACCCCTTTTCTTCCCAGCAAGGTCTCTCCTCTTCCTAAGCCACATGGCAAAAGGGAGCACCCCAAAGCCGCGTGGTCCCAAACAACCCAGCATGGTGGCTGTGGCTGGGTTTTGATCCCAGCGCCAATCTGACTCCACAGCCCCATTTCCGACTCCTCCCACAATTGGCTACACCTGCCAGCACTCCCGTATTCGTCCAGCTTTACTGGGCTGCCATGGTGAGTCTGGGCAGCTGTGGCCCCCCTGGAGTGGAGCCCATCATCTCCAAGCTGGAACCAGGGGGAGCTGCCTCCCAGTTACATCCTGGGTGGAAGTCCCTCCCATCCCCCTGGTTCAAAGCAGGGCCACAGTGTTTAACGTATCCATGGAAGCAGTTGAAGCCCACAGATATGTTAAATGACCCTTCTAGAGGTTACCTGCAAAACTTGCTATGCAGGACCACTCTCAATGGCCCTGCTCCATGTGTCCCACCCTCCAGTTCAGACCTGCGGGTGTGTGTGTGTGTGTGTGTGTGTGTGTGTGCACATTCCATATTTTTAATATTTCCTGGAAACCGTGAGTTCTGGACCTCATTACAAATCCTTCTTTGGGGGGCCCTGGCTGCACCCTCTTACAGAATTGCAGGGTCCTTTTGCCTCTTGGTATAGTCTATACCAGACTGTACAAGTTTGGGTATTTCTATACCCAAAATACAACGTATTTCTTCTGGTATATTACCTCAGCTTTTTTTGTTTCCACTTTCATGAAATATCTTTTCCATCCTTTTACTTCAGTCTGCCTGTGTCTTTCTATTGTTTTAAAAAGATTTTCCTTATTCCTTTTTAGAAAGAGAAATGATGGAGAGAGGAGAGAACCATCAGGGGTTGCCTCTGGACCGCACCCCACTGGGCCCCAACCCACAAGCCAACCTGGGCCCTGGGGGGGTGGGGGGTGTGGAACCCGTGACCTTTAGCTTTGAAGGACCTTCAAGCACCTGAGCCCCCAGGGGTCAGCTCTGTGTGTCCGTGTATTTGGGGCGTGTCCCCTGTAGACAGTCTTCGCCAGGGCAGCCACTGGTAGCCCTTCAGCCCCCGCCACCCGTGTCTTGATTTGCACAGTAAGTTGTCCCCAGACAGCGATACTGGGAAGGGGCTTCTGTTCCCAGTCCGGGATCTGAGCTGCTGCCGGCTCAGCCTCCGCGGGAAGCGTCTCTGGGCTGCCCACCCCCCCACGGGCCCCGCTTTCCACCGCCCCACCCGCGGAGGCTGCGCTGCAGGCCGGGGGGCCGGACCCCCTGGAGTGTGTCTGGCGAACACTGAGCTCGTCGACGTGCGGGAAAGAGGGCAGCAAAAGCAGCCCCTGGGTCCCTGAGCCACGAGCGCAGTTCCGTTTGCCGGCCGCCTCCTCCTCTTTCTCAGCAGGGGCCCGGTGCGGGATGGGGTGCGCCGCCCCCCCCGCGGCTTGTCTCCGGCTGTCCGGGCGGTTGGCACGCGATTCACGAGGACGGGGAGGAGGGGACAACCATCCCGGGAGCAAGACCGCTCTCCACCCCCTACGGGCAGTGGCAAGTCGGCCGCGCCCCACCCCAAACCCACCCAGCGCACGTGACTTCGGGGAAACAGAAAACAGCCCCGCGGGAAGGCGGGGTGACTCCCACGGAACCCCGCGCCCTGAACCCAGGCCCCGCCCTGGTCACCCCGCCAGGCGCACCTACCGGGAGCCCTCGCCCCCGCCTCCCTCTGAGCTCGCGGCCCTGAGAACCACGCCCCAGGCCCGGTCACGCCCCAAACGCCAGCCCCGCCCCCAACCGTGGCCCCACCCCTTTGGCCCGTACCTCTCCAGGTGGTGCGCCCTCTGCTCCGCCCCGGAGGTCTGGAGCGTTGCGGGCCTGGGCGCCGGGCTTCTCCGACACCTTCCGGGCAACCGTGATCCAGCCGCAGCCTCGAGCACAGGAGACCTGGTGCAGGCCTCCGGGACGCGCCGGGAAACGGGTCCCTCTCCCGACACCCCGCAGTCCGGGCTGAGGTCCGGTCCACCCCCCGCGGGGCGCACCTCCACGTCCGGAGCCCGCAGCCCGCCGGCCAGGCGTGGCCCTGCGCTGCCCCCTGGCGGCCGCCCTGGCGAACAGCGACCGCAGGGCCCCAGCCGGGCAGCGCCAGGGAGAGCGGAGCGGGGTCTCCCGGGGAAGTGTCACCAGGTCGGGGCCCTCAGTTCCCCGGTCCCAAAGACGGGGTGGCGCGTTAGACCCCGTGAGACCCGAATTCTGAGTTCCTCCGAATTCTGTCCCAGATTGGTCCCCACCGCGTTCCTTCTGAGACCGAAGTCCCAACTAGGACGCGCTTTAACTAGGTGCCTGGAGGCCAGCGGCTGGACCCACACCTGGGGCTTCCCGGTTCGACCTGTGGCTGCTGGCCGTTCACACTGGGGAGACCCACAGAGATGGGGGAGGAACGGCGGCCCGGCCTGCCCCTGGTGGCTTGGGGGCAGGGCCAGTGTCCCCAGGGAGGGATTGCTGCCTCTTCCCGGAGTCATTCAGCACTGCCCCTCAACCCCCAAGAACCCCCACATTTGTTGAACCGCCAGGAGACAGCAGGGCGGGAGCAGGTGCTGGGGGTTCAGTCAGACCCGTCCCCACCCACGCACCTCCTGGAAGGGGAGGTCGGGTGAGTCCCCCCAGGGGATGGGGACAGGCTGGCAGGAAGGTCCAGGCTGAGTCCTCACGGGGCTTCAAGTGCTGCAGGTCAAGACAGAGGAAGAGGGAAGCAGGGTACTTGCAGAATTTGTGAGGCGGGGAACCAGTATAAACTGAGGCGAAGGGAGGGTGTGCCAAGGACCCCCCCCCCAGGAAGAGAGGAGGATGAGAGCCCAGGCCCCGGTGTGTGGTGGGAGGAGAGGCCTAGGAAGGTCTCCAGCCCTCCCAGCATGCAGTTGGAGACAGGCACATCCCAGGCTGGTCAGGAGGAGCTCCTGGCCCAGGGAAAGAGGCAGCCTCTGGACCACTTCGGGGCCACCTGGCTCCCATGGCTGCCCCTCAGGACCCTCTTGACCACAGAGCTCTGGGGTCCTCTAAGGACACAGGAGAAGGTATGGCGGGAGATCTGCATGGACGTTCCCCCAGACAGTGTGGGTCGAGTCCGGCCCAGATGCCTTTCCCTCCTGTGTGGGGAGAGTTCTTCCCGGGTGGGACGGACTGACAGGCGTGTTGGCTGGGAGACATGGGCTCAGGGCGACTCCTGCCACACCCATGCCCTGCCCCTCACACACATGGTGAAGGCAGATGCGACCTCTGACCTCCTGAGCAGCCTGGCCTGGATGCTGGACAAGGCCACCTCATGGACAACAAGCAAGGCCCAAGGCCTTGTGGGGAAATCTTTCTAATTAGTCCAGTGCTAAACCCTTGGAGATCCCCAAGCTGCCTTGCGTCTTGAGTCTGAATTGTGCTGGGCAGTTTGGAAGGTCCCCTGGACCTGGAATTCTTGATTCCAGATAAGGTCGGGGGCCATGGGGTCCAGGGTCTAGGGAGGTGACAGAAGGCGGGTCCTCTTGAGCCACCAGGAAAAGGCAGGACCTGGAGGGCAGTGTGTGACTTTGTGCTGCCCTGGCCCAGTTTCTGGAAGACGGGAGAAGGCCTTTCCTTCTGAACGCTGGGGACTGCTGATGGGGCAAAACAAGGCAGCAGTTCGGGGAGGGAGCAGTTCCTAGCACTGGGGAAATATTCCACACCCTGAGTGGTGGCGCGGGCCCAGCCACCCAGGTGCACACCGTCCTCACAGCATGCAGTCCCTGTTCTGTGACCCGGCATCAGAACCCCTCCCTGCACCCTGGAGATGCCAGGGGCCCTCCATGCGCAGACTGCCAGGCCAGGCGCCTCCCCGCCCCGGGGCAGCGCCGTCCGTGGTGGGCCCATTTTCTCGGCCTGGCACCAGTGACGTTTTGGGCTGGCTGGTGTCTGTGGGGCGCTGTCCTGGGCACTGTGGAAGCCCTGAAGCATCGCGGCCCTCCATCCCCAACATGTTGGGAACATTTCCCCACCCGACTGTGACCACCCCCTCATCTCTGGCCAAGGAAGGCCAGCTTCCCCGGCAGGGACAACCAAAGATCAGCAGCTCAGCCCCTGCTTTTCACTGTGTCTGGCTCCTTCCCCAGACAGGGCACCTCAGTCTCAGCCCTGAGGAGCTGGGCTCTTCCTCTCCTGCACCCAGGACAGCTGACACTGCGGAAGGGCTCGCCCACCTTCCCCGAGTGATGGATGAGTGAACCAACCAATCCCTGGGCGTGAGCCCCAGCAGCAGCTTTGTTGAGCAGGCAGGCTGTGGGCCAGGCACTGGGTGCCCAGGGCGGCTGCCTGCAGGCAGCACCCTACCAGACTCTGTCAACCTCCGGCACTGGGCGGGTGCCCTTCCCCGGTGACCCAAAGGCCTCCTGAGCTGGACAGTTACAACCAGGGAGGCTGGCAGGGCTCCTCCCTGCCGTCGCTGACCCCGGACCCGGGGCCACTGCCCAGTCCCCATCCCCCAGGTAGGAGGCAGGTGGCAGGGGTGTGTGGGGGCCAAACTCACCAAGTGCTTCCCTCTCTGTAAGAGAGAGCACAAACTTACAGAAACAAACTTGGTGTAAAAGTGAGTGTTTACTCAGAGTCAGGGAAACAGGACAAATAATCAGTTTTAAAATCTGACAAATACCACAAACACACAAAATGTGGAAAACAATATGTTTTCATTCAGGAGCTGCCAGATCCAAGCCATAATACTGGTTCCTGCCTTGTTTGGCCACTTACTCAGAGGTCACCTCAGTGTGTGAAAAGTGACACCCTATTCCATGGAAGGACTAGAGCAGGGGTCCCCACCCCCAGGCTGTGGCCTGTTAGGGACCCAGCTGCACAGCAGGAGGTGAGCCAGGGGAAAGTGAGGGAAGCTCTGCTCCCATCAGGGCCTGAGCTCCAGCTCCCGTCTCCCCACCCCGGCCCCCCCGGGGAAATTGCCTTCCGTGACACCGGCCCCTGGAGCCAGAAGGGTGAGGCATGGCTGGTGGAGCCCGTTCCTCCAGCAGAGTTTGCTGGGATTTGTGTTCCTTCTACGGAGGGAGTCCACCCGCACTGCACTGCTCAGGGCACGCGGGAAGTTTCCCGCCCCAGAGCAGCAGGAGATCTGATCAATTGTAATCCATGAGACTTGTTTTTCAAAATAATTCCTAATGGTGCGCAGTGTGTGGTCGGCAGCACTTTCTCGGGTGGCGGGGGGCCCACTGAGGGCCCGGCTCTGCCACCACAGGGCCCCCTCCGTGCCACAGGGCCCGGTCCATCCCCCAGGCGACCTGGTTCTGCACCGTCAGCTCCTGGTGCCAAAGGGAGGACTTCTGCCTGAGTCTTCACTCACAAAGGCGACCGAGTGAGGTCGCAGAAGTCACTGCCACCGAATGCAGAGGTCAGTGTTCCTCCCAGAGCCCTGCAGAGGAGGGCCTGGCGGGTCCTGCAAGGCCAGGCCCAGGGGAAGATGGGGGCAGGCTGGGTTGGGAGGCGGGAGGGGGGGAAGGAAAGGCAGGTTGGGGCAGTCACTGCGGATGGGCTGGTTTGAATAATTCCAGAGGGTTGGGCCCAGGGGCTGCCCCCCCCCCCCCCCGCATCTGACACTTGGCCCTGGGGTGGTTGGGCCTGGGAAATGTGGTGGAGGTGGGCTGGAGAAGGTGGTGGCCGGGACTGTGGACTCTGCATCCCCGGGTGCGAACCAGGTGGGCTGTTGTTTGGCCTTATGACCCGTGGAGGCCGAGTGGACGGATGGAGGACGTAAGGGGGGGACGAGGAGGAGCCAGCTGGGGCACGTGCGGGGGGTGAGCTTGGGGCCCTTATGCCTCTGACCCCTCCATTCCCGACAGTAAGTCGTGTTCGTCCTCCCAAAACCACAAGTTCCTTTCCCAAGGAATGTTCACACGTGAACCGGTTAAAAAATACAAATGCGTGCGATCGTGCCAACAGACGTCGGAGAAGCATCTCCCAAAATTCATTTTCTGTTCTTAGGAAACTGACTCAGCCGCTCGGAAAGAGCAGGGAGCAGGGTTCATCCGCAGGGATCCTCTGCCAGGCGGGGCAGTCAGGGTGTTCGGGGGAGACACTGGGACAGCGAGGGCTCGGGGGTGACTGGCACCCCCCTCTGAAGGAGGCCTGAGCGTGGCTGGTGATTTCGTAAAGAACGAAGCCAAAGGTCTCTCCTCACAGGCGGCCGGTGGACACATGCTGGTGACAGGCAGGGACTTGGGCAGAGCTGTGGACTCGAACTCTGTGTGAGACCCGCTGTTGCTGCACATCAGCCAGTGTGTTGGGACAGTGGGGTGTCCCTCACGCTGCAGGAGCAACACCCAGCGTCACCGGGAGAGGCCGGGAGGCACTGTCAGCAGCCAGGAGATGACACAGAAGCCTGTGTCCTCACTCTGGACGCGGGAAAAATTTCTCCAGAAAGACGCACAAAGCACGGCCCCTTCCTGGGAAACCCTCACGATGTCCAGCACACGGAGCCGGCTCTGCACCGAAGGACCAGGGAGTGCAACCAGCCTTGGGACAGGGCCCTGGCAGCCCGCGGAGCTGACACAGCCAGTGTCCGGGGCGGTGAGGACAGGAAGGGCCGAGGCCTGGGTCAGAGAACTTGACCGGGTGCCTCAAGGAGGGGGAGGCAACGCCCAGTGGCTGGAAGGACAAGGTGGGCCCAGCAAGCGGCAGTGGGCAGGACACACAGTGGGCCCACAGGAGGTGCTGCCCCAGGATGCTGGCGCACCTCCGGGCAGGCGTCCCACCCACAGCGCTGCGAGGCCTTGGTCCCCACCGGGGACAGCACGGACATCCCACCCAGGGGAAGAAACTCGGACTGTGGGACCAGTAGGCCCTCTCCTAGGTGAACACCCCAAGGAGTCGGGCCTAGGCTGCTGACCAGGGCCATCTTCCTGGGCCCCCCGCAGATGCCCCAGTGGGACGCCTACAGTGGGGTGAAGGTGCGAAGGACTCCACCCCCACCCCGGACCTGGCCCCACAAGGTACGTGGGTGCTGGACCTCTGCACCGACTCCCACAGCCGGGCGCCCGCATCTGACCTGGGGCGGGAAGGTCCCCCGAGTCCAGACGGAGGCTGTAGTGGTCTGGGCGAGGGGACACCAGGCGGTGGTGGCCCCACATGTGCTTGGAAGCAGGAGTGGGGCCGTTGGATGAAAAAGCACCCCATCCCCAAAGCCTGCTCCCGACATCCTCATTAGGCCCTGTTTCCTTTTTTTTATCTTTAGAGGGGCAGGGAAGGAGAGAGGCAGAGAAACATCAATGTATGGTTGCCTTTCGTGCGTCCCCTGCCGGGAACTGGCCTGCAGGGAACCAGCCTGCAACCCAGGCATGTGCCCTGACTGGGAATCGAACCGTGATTGTCTGGTTCGCAGGCCCGTGCTCAATCCACTGAGCTACACCAGCCAGGGCTAATCTTTGAGGTCTTGTAGGGGACTCAAGACTTGGAAAATTTTAGCTTCAGGTAAAAAGTTATAAGTCTAGCAAGCAATGTGTATGTTAAAGCTTTTGTTTCAGAAACTCCAGGTCAGGCCCTCCTGGCTCCTGGGAAACAGCCGACCCCCTGGGGCACCGCTAGAGACCACCACCTGGGGTCCGCGGGAGGCATCCAGGCCTTTGTGTTTCAGGCACAGACAGACCACCACCCTCCCCTTGAAACCGTGAACTGCTGAGGACAGGAACGTCGCAGCTTCTGAGTCTCACAGCCCACCCCCCACTTTATGAAAGGTCTGGCCTGGAAAGAAAAGACAAGATGGTCTGTTGGGTGTGAACCCACCATCTTCTCAGCTCTCCGCCATCTGAGTAAAGGGCCCATAAAAGATTCAATCGCTGTCATTGCTTCCTAGTTTGGTAGTGACAGGCAGCCCGAACGCTGGTGTCTGTTCCAGTTCCAGTCTCAGAAAAACGTGGAAATGGCTATAATGAGGCACCCGCAGTGCAGCTCTCCCCGCTCTCTGGGAACCGTGCCCTGAGCTGGGAAAGACAGTCAGAGCACAGGGCCAAGCAGCAGCTCCCGGGCCCCGAGCCCTCCGGGGCCCGGCTCCTCCCAGACACAGGCTCCCTGCTCTGCACCCCTGGCCCTCGGCCCTGAGCCTGCGGGGTTGGAGCCACACACGCCGACTGTGGTCGGTGGTTCCGAACTGCAGCAACAGAGCCACCTGCACGCTGTCCTCAGAGCAGAGGCTGGGCTGTGGACAGATGTTCCAACCAGCTCTGAGGCAGGGACAGCAGCTGTGACGAGCCCCACCTGGTGCTGGCAACCACGCAGGTCACAGACCCATTGTGACCACCTCCGCCAGGGAAAAGATTAAAATTTAAATTTAAAATTGAAAACAAGACAAAGACAATCTACATATCCAATCTGATTCATTATTAGCTCAGGACATCTCCCCACGAAGATGGAACCAGGGCCCCTGTTTGTTCACCTGGGCAGGGCCCTTTGCCCTAACGGGAGCAGAGCAACGCCGGGTCCACCCTGGAGAACGGGGCCCATAAACTTCTATCACACGCTCATATCTTCAACACTCCCAGGTACCACCCTATTCACCAACCCACTAATTGCAGGAAATAGAAACTTGGGAGAAATCTGAACTACCCCGGAATGGGAGGGGCCTAGAGCATTGTCCCTGGATCTGAAAGCACCCTGCTGAGGGCTCTGCTTCAGAAAGCTTCCACCTTCTTGCCTTAAGACCACACCAGCTCCCCAAAGCCAGAGATGATGAAGAGGGAACAAGAGGTGGCCGTGCTGGGGGCTCCCCAGGTGTCAGCACCAGTGGTGTCCACCGTGGTCAACATCCGGACTGAGACCGCCGTGCCCGACCACATCGTCTGGTCCCTGTTTAACACGATCTTCTTCAACTTCTGCTGCCTGGGCTTCGTGGCGTTCGCCTACTCTGTGAAGGTGGGTGGGGCGTGTGGGCCCCCGGGGGTCCTCCTGCCCACAGGGCCCTCGGGACCGGGAGTTATTGCATGTGGGTGAGCACATGTGTGTGTACAAGTCACAGTTAGTCTGTACTCGGTGCATGGGGGTGGCGGGGCCACCACTCGTCCCAGGATTCCAAGCAATTACCTACTGCTCTTCCCAGAAATTAGTTCTCTCAGAAAGAACAAAGGGACTCCCACACCCTGACCCACACCCTGACCAGTGGGGCGTTGAGGGCAGCAGAAGGGTCAGGACAGGGGAAGGATGGGCCCTGGAACCCCTGGAGAGGCTGAGAGGTTCTGAGGGACAGACCCCCGTGACCATGACCTACTCAGGCTCCAGGGATCAAGCACCGGAAGTTCCTGATCTGGCTGAAGGGCAGGGGGAGGGGCTCTGGGCAGGGACCAGCAGGGGAGGACCTGAGTCACAGCAGCTGGCTCTGCCCAGGCCCCACTCCAGGCCCCCCTCACAATCTCTTTTTCTCCCCCAGTCTAGGGACCGGAAGATGGTGGGTGACGTGATTGGGGCCCGGAGCTACGCGTCCACCGCCAAGTGCCTGAACATCTGGGCCCTGCTCCTGGGCCTCCTTGGGACCATAGGGTTCATTGTTCTTCTGGTGCTGGTGGTCTTCCCGGCAATCAGCTATGCAATAACACAGGCCATGCAGAACCACGGAGGCTACTAGGCGCTGCCCTCAGCAGGGGGACCACGTCTCCCCACCCCCTCCTGGCTCTGCCCCACCCCCCCACCCCTTCATACAGTTGCTGAACCCAATAAAGTGCACCTGGAAGTGACAATGCGGATGTTTCCTGGACCCAGGTCCCTGCTGAGTGCCCAGCCTGCCCCTGAGGCTGAGCCCACAGCCCCCCTGGCCCATCAGCTTGCTGCTCTGAGGGGGTCCAGCTCCTTCTCAGTTGTTCCTGGTTTCTGGGCCCCCACTGGGAGCAGCAGCTGGGCCAGGGTCCCAGGAGGGGCTTGGTCCTTCCCAGTATCTGAGCCCTGATCCAAGGGGGGCCGGATCCAGGGCCCCCTGAGCCCCCAGGACAAGCCTCCCTGAGCCAGGGCTGGCTGGTAGCAGGGGTGAGTGCTGCAGACTGGTGCCCTGGGAGGCCATGGTGTTCTCGGGTCTGGTGCAGGGTGAAGCCCAGCCCCACAGCCCCTCCTGGGTGGTCCCGCCATGGCTGTGCTTCCCCCAGCCCACCAGCTGTGTCCTTGCTTCTCCTCAGGGGACAGGAGCAGGGGTGTGCTGGGACCAGGGAGGGACAGAGCAGTCAGCCCTGAGGGACAGAAACCCTGAGAGGAAGGCCCAAATCCTCCCACCAGACAGGCTGGGCCTGCTGGCTGGAGCCTCTGCCAGTGCCCAGGAAGGGTCCCCCTGCCTTTGGGGACCCCCAGGCTTGGGGTGGGAGCCTTTGCCAGGGCTGCTGATTCACTTGGGGCCTGGGACTGTCCTCAGCTTGACCCGTTCCCTCCCCCCAGGCCCTGCCTGCAGTCAGCACAGAGAGGCTGGGGAAGTCTGGGGGGCCACAGGCTGGTGTCTGGGGGGTGAACGCGTCTGCACATGAGCCTTGCTGTTTGGGGACCTGGGCCAATCTGGGCTCCAGGTGTGGGGTGAGGTCAGTCCTGCTAGCTCTGGTCCGCGGGCAGCATCTCTTCCCGCTGTGGTCTTGTTGGGTCCTGGGGCACATGCTGTTGGAAGATCCTAACCCTGGCCCCCTTCCCCCTGTGCCCTGGTACAGCCCCTGTGGCGCCCCGACTTCTGGGCCAAAAGAGGGCAGTGCTGAGTCTGTGCTGGGTGACGCCCAGTGCAAAGGCGCCCCTGTACCCGGGGGGGACCCACGTCTGAGCATGAGGGGCCAGGCCCTGGGAAGAGGCCTTGCAGGAGGCGACGCTGGCAGACCTGGCCCTCTGGGTCAGAGAATTTGCTCCTGGCAGGACAGAGAGGGCGCCGCCATGTGACCGAGATCCCCCTCCCCGGGCCCAGGGCCGGTGGTACATCGTCTGCGGGGCACCAGTCAGGACGTGCGCTCAGCACTGCAGCTGAGACTCGAGACTAAGGCGCCGCCCGGCGGGACACCTCCCGCAGCCAGCAGAGCAGCCGCGCTCTATCTAGAACTTTGGAAAAATTACAGAGGCTCCTGAGGCTTCACGCAGGCGCAGTGTAGGCGCTGAGCAGGGGCTCCCCGCGGCTCAGCCTCCAGCCGCCTGAGTCCTGGAGCTGCCCTAGCATCTCCTCCTGGAATGTGGGCGGAGGGCGGTCCCCTTCACCCAGGTGGGCGTTTCTAGGATGCTAGGTGGGGTGGACTCCAGCCCGGGTGCAGAGGGTTGTGTGACCCCACGGTGGGCCAGGAGGGGAGGGGCCTAGCGGGTGGGCGGGACGGAAATGGGCGTGGCAAGCGTGTGGGCGGGGCCAGACCCAAGGGACAGGATTCACCAGTTTTGTCCCTGCCGGTCTCTCGTCAGTCTCCAGCGAGCCCCTCCACACCTTTCTCCGAGTCTTTTCTGGATCCAGAGAGGCTGGTCTGACAGCGTCTCCTGCGCAGGATGGTCTTCCCTGGGCCCGACCCCTCTCCTGCTCAGACGTGGGACCCCCGGGGACAGCCTGAGATCCTGTGGCTTATCCACAGGTCCCCAACCCGCCAGGCACCTCCGAGAGTTAGTGAGCAGCTGTTTGGGGCAGAAAGGAGGTGGGGGTGAGGGTGTGGAGGGTCCACAGCTGGGACTCGGCACAGGGAGGAAGGGGCAGTCTGGGTGGGCCCAGCTCCTAACGCCCGTCTGCTGCTGGTATCCCCTGGGTCTGCCCTGGGCCACCTCTTAGTGTACGATATCTGGAAGCCTTGAGAGAACCAGGTTTGGAGCTTACTTCCAGGTCAGGGCTGGGTTTCTCTTCCACCTGAAGAGCAGGGAAACCTGGGGCTGCCTCGCCAGGTGGCCTGTGGACTCCCGGAGTCCTGTCCCCTGAAGTCTTCTGGAGCTGATGGGGGCCTAGGGGCTGAGGGTCCTCTGGACCAGGGCCTCCGTACCTCAAATGCTCCCATCCTGGGTCGGGGCTCAGACCTCTGGGAAGGAGAGACCCCCCACCCCTAACTGTTCCCTCTGTTGCCCCAGCTGGGGGCCAGGTGCAGGTAAGGCCCAAGGACAAGCTCCACCCCACCGCCAAGCCAGCAAGCAGGTGGGATGGGGTGTGGGGTGGACTCAGCCCCAGGGGCAGACGGGGGCTCGCACAGGACCCTCCCCAGGTGAAAGCACAACGTTGTCAGGTGTGTGTCCTTTATTGCCTTCAGTTGGAGACACACGTGGGTAGGAACAGCTGTGAAGAGGTGACAGCCTCAGGCTATGGGCAGCCTCCAGAAACCTAAGTCTTTGTGACCTCCTAACTGTACAGAATAGTTATATTCCGATCGTTAACTTAATTACAATTAAAATGATGAACAGAGTGAGGCTAAAGACCAGGGCCACAATGTTCAGGCACTTGGCAGTGGATGAGTAACTCTTGGCACCAACCATATCCTGCATCATCTTCCGGTCCCTAGACTGGGGGAGAAGACATGGTGAGGGGGACCTGGGCAGAGCCAGCTGCTGTGACTCAGTCCCCCCCTGCTGGTCCCTGCCCAGAGTACCCCCCCCCCCACCTGCAGCCAGATCAGGACCCTCCTCTGCCTCTTCCTTGGAGCCTGGGCAGTTCATGGTCATGGGGTCCCTCCCTCAGAACATCTCAGCTTCTCCAGGGGTCCCAGGGCCCCCCTCCTCCTCCTGACCCCTCTGCTGGCCTCACCCCACAGGCAGTCAGGGTGTGGGAGTCCCTTTGTTCTTTCTGAGAGAACTAATTTCTGGGATGAGCAGTAGGTAATTGCTTGGAGTCCTGGGGACCAAGCCTGACCCTGCCACTCCCGTGTCCCTGGTACATACAGTGACCTGTACACCCACATGTGCACACACCCAATGACTCCACAGTCGCAGGGCCCTGTGGGCAGGAAGACCCCGGGGGCCCACACGCCCCACCCACCTTCACAGAGTAGGCGAACGCCACGAAGCCCAGGCAGCATGTGTTGCAATAGATGGAGTTGAACAGGGACCAGACGATGTGGTCGGGCACGATGGTCTCAGGCTGGATGTTGACCACGGTGGACATCACGGGTCCTGGGCCCTGGGGTGCCCCCATGATGGCCACCTCGTGTTCCTCCTTGATCATCTCTGGCTTTGGGGAGCTGGTGTGGTCTCAAGGCAGGATGGTGGAAGCTTCCTGAAGCAGAGCCCTGAGCAGGGTGCTTTTAGGTGCTGGGGGCCCCTCCCTCTTCAGGGTAGTTCTGACTTTTAGGAAGTGTCGATTTACTGCGGTTTTCAAACCTGGTGATTTCACGGGTACAAGAAGGTGGAAAAACCCACGAGTGTCAGGTGACAGGAGAAGACAGTGCAGGGCAGCCTGCAGTGTAACGGCCGCTTCCTGACCCTGTCACTCGGGACCATTCTTGTGGCTCATTCAGGGCTGGGGCGGGTCCTGGGGCTTTCTCCTGCCCAGAGGCCCCCCTCCCTTCCCCCTCCCCAGCCCTTGTGCAGGTCTCACTGTGCCCACACAGGGCCCCTGCAAGCGGTCACACAGACGCCCCTCCAGCCCAGGGGGAGCCCGCCCCCACAGCCCACACCTCCTCTGTTGTCCCAGGCCCCCTCTCTGGTGTCCAGGCTCCAGGTGGGGTTGGGTGCCTGGTGGATGCAGCCCAGGAACCAGTCCCTTTCCCTGTCCCCTGGGACTAGCAGGGTTTCCATGATCGAGGACACCTGGGGACCCGAGGAGGCAGCTGTGGTGGGACAGGGCATTTGGTGACGGCCTGGAAGCGCAGGGCAGCAGGCTGTGCAAGCCCCTGTCTGCTCCTCGCTCCTGCCCCTCAGTGGAGCAGAGGTGCTGTGGGGTGGTCACAGGACAAGCTGGAGGAGCCAGGACGAGCCCCGACCCTGGCCTGGACCCCCTTGTCAGGGAGCGGAGGGTGGCAAGGAGGAGCCAGGTCGCTGCTCTGTGGGGACAGAAAGACGGGGTCGTGTTGGTCGCCATCCGCAGGTCTCAGCAGCACGGACGAGGGTGGGGGTGGTGGTGGCCCAGGCCTGGACTGTCCCTGAGGACCACGGCCCTCGCCCTGCAGCCCGGCTGGGACAAGGCTGCAGACCTGCATCCCGGGGCGCCAGTGGTTCCCTTGTGGCCCAGAGGTGGCAGTCTCCAGGCTGGGCGGTCCTGCAGCTTCTGTGTTCTGGTCCCTTGAGCATCTGCCCCGTGTCCCCTCACAGGGCAGCAGCCGCTGCCCGCAGGCATCACCGGCCGCCCATCCCCACGTGATGCCGTGTCGTTGAAGGAGCTGGTGTGGCTCTGAGCTCCTCTGGACTGGGGACCCAGCGGCTGCCTCGACTGTGGGAGCCACTGGGCACTGGGCTGTCCTGGCTGTGGAGGACTGCCCCGTTGCTTTAGGACTGGCTCGTTCCAAGGGGAAGAATGTTCGATGTGCCCTATGCCGGGGCCTGCATCAGACTTCTTTTCTTTTCATGGCAAACAACCGTCTGTCACGTGGGATGTCAGTCTTTTTATCAGCGGCAACTTCAGGGACGTTTGAACTGTTTCTGCCATTTGTCTGCCACCTCTGATGTGACTTAAAAGTGTGAGCAGTTTCGTGTGAGCCCGTTACATTACTCAGGGGTGGATTCAGGCCTCCTGGATGTCTGTCTGCAGTCGTTCCAGAACTGCCGCCAGGTTTTTCTGGCGTGGCCCAGTTCCTCGGCCCTGGTCCTCGGTCCCATGAAGGAGCCCTGTGGTGTGGCCCAGCCTGGGGGAGAGGCGCCCACAGCCCTGGGATTAGGCCCCGCCTCCTCTCCAATCTGCTGCGCCCTGGGCTTTTCCATTTCCCCGGTGGTGACCCTGGACAGCCGGAGAGCCGCAAGGGCGTGTCTCTCTCCACCACTGGCTGTGCTCTTTGGTGAGGCCAGGCCTTTGCTAAGAACAGCAAAGCACCTTTCGGGTCCTTACATTCCTTCCCCCGCCCCGGAGCTGCGCTTTGAGGGCCTGCTGGGCTCTTGGAGATAAAACAGAAGTGTAGGGTGCCCTGAAGTGGGGCCTCAGGAGCTCCAGTCCCTGGAGTCAGTCTCCACCCAGTGTCCAGCAAAGAGCCTGTGCAGTGGGGCCTGCCTGGCCTCGGCTCCGCCGGTTTTGGGTTTGCAGTTCCCATGGTGACCTCGCTTCTCTGCCGGGGCTCACAGGACGGGGTGATTCTCAGCGTCTCTGTCTTCTTTCTTGTTGCAAGGATGGGAGTCGCAACTTCCAGCGTCTGTACTGGAGACCAGGAGTTTGTATTCAACTTAATTTTTTAAAAGATATTCTTTATGTATTTTCCGAGAGGGGAAGGGAGGGAGAAGGAGAGGAAGAGGAAGAGAAACATGGACGTGCACCAGTTGCCTCTCACGTGCCCCCCAGCTGGGACCTGGCCTGCGACCCAGGCACGTACTGTGACTGGGAATTGAACTGGCCACATTTCAGTTCATAGGCCGGCACTCAGTCCTCTGAGCCACACCAGCCAGGACTGTATTCAATTTTAATTTCAAGTTTAAATATCCTTTTCAGCTTTCATTTGTTTTTTTTTTTCTTAAAAAAAAGATATTATTATTTATTTTTAGAGAGGGGAAGGGAGGGAGAAAGAGAGGGAGAGAAACCTCAGTGTGTGGCTGCCTCTCACATGGCCCCCACTGGGGACCTGGCCCACAACCCAGGCCTGTGCCCTGACTGGGAATCAAACCGGCGACCCTTTGGAAACTGAGCCACACCAGCCAGGGCTCATTCGTTTTGTTGAGTAATTCATTTCTTTTTAGTCATAGTCTCTGTCCTAAGTGCCGGTACCCTCACAGCCTCCTTTCGTATGCGGTCGCGCCTGTCGGGCTGGTTTGGGCTCTTTTCCTGGGGAAGCCGATGATGGGCAGCCCGGCTCCCCCGCAGACTGCGGCTCCATCGTCTGGGGGAGGGGCCTGTTTTCTTGGGGTCTCGCCAGTCTCTGCTGGAAACCACACATTGCAGACGGTGTGTCCTCACTGTGGGCGCCAGCCCCTGCCTCTAGGGGCTTGTGGTCACTATTGGCCAGTGTGTTCAGTGACCACGGGATCTTTCTGTCAGTGCGGGGGCGGGGTGGGGGGCGCTCACCCGCTACCTGTGTGGACCCCTGGCGCAGCGGCTGCTCTGCGTGCGGACCCACTGAGGTCCTGGCTCCGTTGAAGGAGTTGCTTCTGATGTGAGTGCTGACAAGTCTTCTGACCCCAGGCTCGCCCGGGCTCACTCCTCCCGGCGCGCTGTCCTCCTCGCGTCCGCGGGACTCCTCCCGGTGGCCTTGCCCGCCACCTCCGCTGCGTCCGCGCTTCCTGCTCTGTGGCCAGTGCAGCCGGTTCCCTCGGGAAGAGATGGGGAACCATCTGCTTGACGGGCAGCCTGACCTCCCTGCCAGGACCTCTGCCCAGTGCTCTGCGGCTGCAGGGGGGGCCGTGGCAAGCTTCTCTCCGAGTGACCCTGCGGTCGGAGCGCCCAGCGGAGCCTGGAGTCCTCCCAGCCCACCTTTGCTAGCGCGGAGAGCCACCAAGCCATGAGCCGAACCAAGGACGGCCAGACCTGCCTGCCCGAGGCAGAGCGTTTGTTCTGCGAGCAGCCGGCCCCGCCCTGCGCCCCCCAAAGCCGCCTGGGCCGCAGCCTCGGCCTTAGCAGCAGAAGTGGGGCAGCCATGTGGGGGCTGCAGCCACACCCTCCTGGAGAGGGCTCAGGGCAAACTGTAGCGTTCACCGTGAATTGGCCTGTGCACCAGCGTGTACCATTTCTCCATGCATGTGACTTTCAGCTCAGACAGGAGAGAAAGGTCAGACCCATTTATAATGTGTTTAACGTATTTCCCAACACAGTTGCCTCTGTTATGCTGGGCAACACAGGTGCTGGTGTTTCCTCATCATACTTTGAGTTACTGTCCCCTGTGCTTTTGTCTTGACCTAGAGAAGCCCCGTTGGCGTTTTTGTGGGCCGGTTCCGCAGCCCAGAATCCCTGCCGGCTTCGTTTCCCGGGAACGTCTGATTCCCCTTCGTTTCCTGAGGTCAGTTGAGCTGGATACAGAATTCTTGAGTGACAGCCATTTCTGCTCAGCTTGTCGGGGCCTGAGCCCCAGTCCTGAGGAGGGACCCGTCCTGGTCGTGACGAGGGGCCGCTGCGCAGCCGCAGTTCCTCTCTCGAAGCTTCGAAGTCTCTGCCTGACTTTTCCTTCAACAGCCTGGTTACGCTCGCCCAGGTTGGGAGTCTGTATCGTCCTTCTGGGAGGTGAACCTCTGGGATGGACGGATTGCAGCTTTCCGCCATGTCTGCGAAGCTGCAGCCCTTGTTTCTTCAAATACGATTTACATCCCGTGCCTACGACCCTGTTCTCCTGGGACACGTTGTCCGCGTGTCCACGTGTCTCACGCGGCCCGAGGCCTCTGCGCAGTTTCCTCCTCTTCCTCTGTTCCGTTCCGCACGCCGAGTGGTCTGGCCTGACCTCCCTTCAAGTCTACAGGCCCCTCTCGTCCGTCTCAGACGGGCCACCGAGCTCCTCCGTGAGGTCCCCGAGTCTCCTGTATGCCCGCCGCCGCCGACTGTGTGCGGTCTCGGCGATTTCTACCTTTTCGCTGATATTTCCTATTTGGGGAGACCTCCTTCTCGCACTTGTCTTTGGTTTGTTATTTTCTTTATGTCCTTGACCATATTTCAGATAAGAGAGTTAGAGTCTTTTTGCAGTAATTACAGTGTCTACACTTCCTCAGAGATGATTTCTGTCAGCTACTTTTTTTTCCTGTGTGTGGGCCATCGTTCTTGTTTATTAGCATTTCTCAGAATTCTTTGGTTGGGAACTGGGCTTTTTAAATGCTAAAATGTGGCAATTTGAAAATCAAAAGCCAGATTCACCACCCCCCTGGGGGACTGTTACCCCGTTCTGCTGTTGCCACTGTCCGCTCTGTGCTCTGAAGCAATTCTGTTACTCTGAAGCAAATCTGTTCTTCATCCTGTGTGGCCACAGACGTCCCTGATGAAATCTGTGGTAAGATCATGTTTGCACAGAAATTACTTAAATACCTGAGACCAGTGAGTCCCACGTTTTTGCCAGGGGTTCAGGGAATGCGCTGGGGCGTGTCTGCAACACGCGGCCAGGCAGGCTCCCCCCCCTTTCCCCGACGGGGCGTCTTCCCGCACATGAGTTCCGCTTCGAGGACATCCGCGCTGCGGGCGGGTAGCCTTTCAACAC